ATTATTATTATTATTATTATTGTTATTATTATTATTATTATTATTATTATTATTATTATTATTATTATTATTGTTATTATTACTATTATCATTATCTTTATTGTTATTATTATAATATGTGAACCAGTCCCAAAATTCATATCTATACTCGTACAAATATGAGAAGAACTATGAATTAAGGGATCCTGCCTGGTGAAAAGACGGATCTCTACAGAAAGTCAGCTTTTCGTCAGTTGGTTAAGCTCTCAGGAAGATAACAATTAGGCATAATTATATAATGATATTTTTTTTAATATGGACTTTCCTTTGTTTTATTTTGTAATCCATTTTTTATTCTTTATTTGTTTTTATTTTAGAGATGGATATTTTTATAATGTAATGATGTTGTAAACTTAGATTGTTTGCAGTCTTGTACTGTTTTCTAAACAGTACAAGATAAAGAGATTACTATTACTGTAATTATGCATATTATTGTAGTCGATGTTGTTATTAGTTATATTCAATATTCATCGTTGACCCTGCTTAATCGTAGTATCATCGTCTTCATCTATGTGGCCTGTCTGTGAGATTGACAAATGAGTGACACAAAGTCCATGGAATTATGATTAGTATAATTAGATTAGAATGCTGGTTTTTCCAGCAAATAAATATTTTTAAACATATCACGATGTTCACCTAGATATGCAGATACAAATGATAATAATAATAATAATAATAATAATAATAATAATAATAATAATAATAATAATAATAATAATAATAATAATAATAATAATAATAATAATAATAATATAAATCGTAATGATCAGATACGACACTAGCCACTGAGCGTAAACTCGGTGGTCTGTTATGACAACAGGCTAATTATCTAGAAGTTGTTGGTTCGATCAATTTCCACCTGAACCACTTGCGAATTTCTTCCCGCAAGTATTTGTACTGAGTATTCAATGCGATAACACATCAGAAAGGGCGAAACATCACTCCTACAATAATGATTGAATTATGTTGACAGACGTAATAGTCTCATTATTGACGTAAATAATGAGACTATTACGTATGTTGACAGACGTAATAGTCTCATTATTGACGTAATAAATCTTCTATTTTCATTTCTATTTTATTTTATGGCAGAAATAATTTCTTGAAGTAGATTAAAATAACGGATCCACGGTAGACAGTAATGACCTTATCTCAGTAATTATCTGTTAGTTGTAATTAGCTGTTGCTATTAATGGAAGTAAATCAGGCAGATGTCATTACAGGTGATGTAAATTGTGCCATGAATGTCAGTACGGTATGGCATAAGAAATAAGCCAGCATCTGCCGCTGAAAGCTCTTGTAGTTTTTAATTACAGGGGGACATCCGCTTATTAAATTAAGCGTAATAATATAGGCCTTCTTGTAAGTATTTAGACCTAGTACTACTACTACTACTACTACTACGGTAATTCAAACCTGCGCTATAGAAACATAAATTTGAATTATCTGTATTTAGTGCAACCATGAAGCAAACTATTTCTCTTTCGCCTCTCCTATTTTCTTCTCAACTTTGGCTTCAAATAGCCTCTCAGCAAACACATTTTACATTTTTTAATTAAAGTGTCTGGCTAGAAACGAAAAAAACGGCGGTGAGCTAAGCCAGGTAATCAAATTTAGAAATGAGTGTCACGAGTCCTTCAAGCCTCAGTCGTTTCCCAAGAATTAATCCTGGATGTTGTCTATGAACAGATTCAATATTGATTATATAGAAATAGGGGCCTGGGGCACTTGTTTTGTGCTGACAAATATTTATAATGCCAAATGAAACAAGGAAGTAATATCAAGAAGTAATGAAATACATTCTGGTTAGATTTAAGGAGGCTGCGAGGACATCTTGGTTCGAAGCCAACAAGGAAGATTGTTGAAAACCTGCTTAATTGTTTGAAATTTTATTCACACAGGAAACAGCGTGTCCTAGAGGTACATATAAGCTGTCTCTTATACACATCTAGATGTGTATAAGAGACAGATACTGTACCTAGTGCGTAAAAACATAAACAATTATAACCCAAATTTAAAGGCAAAAGGCTGAATCAAATAAAATATTAGCAGGTTTATAATTATGTAAGGATAAGATGGTTTGATAACAGCATTCCCATTATTATTTTGTCTTAGTTTTAGTAGAGTCAACGGAAAGAGGAGCAGGGCTAGGCCGAAATCTTACAAACCAATTGGGTTGGTTTGCAGTATAGTAAACCCGGATCTTGGTAAACCCTGAAGCAATTTAACAAGACAACGACTTCCTTTATGATAGTGTATTATTTCTTCCCATGTATTCCAGAACTTAAAATAGAGCGTGTTTGATCTTGTGGAGAGTTTTAGAGATTTGTTTCTTATGAACTAATGTCATATCGATTGATCTTCATATAACCTTTGCGCTGATGTTAAATCGTCGATTTCCGTGTGCACATTTTCGTATGTCGTATTGACGTATCGTTACAAAAATGCGTGCAATCGTAGTGATCATTGTCCACTTCTCAGTTATTAACTGTATCGATATTCTTGATTCATCTCTTAAACGAAATTTTCCTCACGGTAAATCAGAATTGGTGTTCCTTTTAGATCGTTCTGGAAGCGTTGGTGCAGGAAATTTTGAAGTTGAGAAAAGCTTCGTTGATAGTCTGCTCACCGAGTTCACGATCGCTCCCGAAGCAACCCGAGTCGCGGTCATAAGCTACAGTGAGAACGTCGTCCGGCATATTGATTACATTGGTCGAAAACCGAAAAATAAATGTCACTTCTCGTCTGAAATTCAACTGGTGAAATATGAACGGGGCGGAAAAACCAACATTAATGGTGCATTGATTGAGGCACAGAATGTTCTGGCCAATGCCAGGCATGGTGTAAAGAAGGTAATCTTACGAAAATCGGTATATTGTGTATAGATTTATTGTGTCATTGATAACAAAATTATATATGTTTTACTTCTTAGGGTACTAGATTTCTAAGGGTAAATAATTTAAATAAAATTGTAGTTGGCATTACAGGGAAAACCCCCTCCAAATTTAAAGTCTTTTTGAATGGATAAAAAACATTTTTTTTTTTAATTTTCTTTTTTATTGTTTGTACATGTTCTTATCACTTTTATTGGGTTTATTTTCCCTTGTCTACTGTCTTGTGCAATTTTTCATTTTATTCATGCATTTTATTGATTTTTTTCTTATTGTTATTTTATTGGTATTTTAAAATTTTGTGTGCTTTTTTTGTTTTGTGTTTGTGTTTTTGCTCCTTGATTTTTTTTTTGTAATTTTATTCCATTGTAAATAATATAAAGATCAATCGAATTCCTTTTTTTGTTTTACTGCGATTGATAAATAAAAATACTTGAATACTTGAATCCTTGAATTAACAGTATATTGCCTTCGAGGCAGAACCCAGAGTTTAAGAGCTAGATGATATCAACATAAATAATTATGGGATTATTATTGTAGAACAAAAACATGTTATCGTCGTTCATGTAGACTTGTGCTAAGTCGTTAGTTAAAACTTGCAGTAAGTTCAGAGTTCATGTAACGTGGTTCATGACCAGTATAAATGACTGAAATAACAGTTAATTTCGATTTGTTTTATTTGCATTCAATATTACAAATTAAATTAGAATGAGAAAATACATTAAAAAATACACATAGGCCTAGTTAAATATTATTGAGCCACATGTATAAATTTTTTCGTATGTTTTTAGTTTTCAATATTGTTCATTTTTGTCGCTTAGATATATCGGTTCGGGCAAGAAAGGGTTTAATTTTAGCTCATGAAGAAAGATAGGATTTCATGTTTATGCGACATTTTGTTCTAAATTATAGGCCCTCATTCTTCTAAGTGATGGCATCGCCAACGTTGGTGGCGACCCACTTACTACGGCAACCGCCCTCAAGATTGATAATGTAGAGGTCTTCACATTTGGAGTCGGTCTCTTTGATAAAGAAGAGCTAGAAAAGATTGCAACGGACAAGGACCATGCTTTCCAGTACAGTAGTTTTCACCAGTTCCAGCAGTTAGCCTACCGCATCAGAGGAGGTATCGTAATAAATGTTGACTTGTTAAAAAGGAGTTTTCGAAATCTCCATCTGTGACGTACAGGGTGACGTATGGCGTATGCAAATTAGAAAACTTTCCTATGTTTTTTTATTTATTTATTTAAATTGCAACGTGTTTTGTTTACGTTATGGTTTCGACAACTTATTTGAATCTATTCTATCTAGCAAGAAAATTAAAGAAAGATATGTTAATGTAGGCCTACATGATCTTTAATGTAAATTGTGTTGTTCTCTCGATTTTTACGGTTGTTAAAACTGATATGACACTTCTCAAATATTGGGCACATTTTAATCAATCAATATTTATTTTCCATCATAAATAAACTACTTAACAAATTAAGATGGAGGAAGTACAACAAAGTACACGTATTACCTTAACATTTACAATATATGTATTTTATGACACAATTTTATTATCAAACTGTTTATTCCTGTCACTATAGCACTTTCTCGAAATCGACAACATGTTTTAGGCTATGGGAAAAATACAGTGTATACTAGCCAGGAGGTAGTGTTCGCACACATTAATGAATTCTTTTCACCACCACTATTCAACTGACACTTGTACTTATATTATGGGCTTGTTTTCAGATCCTCACGAAGTTAAGTGGGATAAAAGCGTCGCACTGTCTGCGTGCGATAACCTATGCGCAGATCCTTTTCCGGGTATAGGTTGCTGTGACACATACGCACAGTGCACATGCGCTCTGGTTGGTGGTAGCCATGACTGTGTCTGTGGGCCTGGCTACAAAGGGCTAAGTGGTCTCGTGAGTAGATGTATTCGTAAGTATCTCAAACGAAAATTATTTGCTGTAGAGAGCGATAGGAAACAGGAAATTGGCTGAATATTTTTTTTTAGAATTTGTAATTAGAATACATAGCCGAAAAAAAAAAGTAAAACTTAAACAACATACATACAGTATACTATCTAGAGGAAAATGTCTAACACACTTCGCCTTCTTGAAATAATTATTTAATTAAACAAAACAACTTAACTTGAAACAGAAAGCAATGTAACATAAAAGGTCAACTATTTTCATAGATACAGGAACACATTGAGAAAGCAAAGTAACCACGTGACTATTATAAGTTTAAGAAACCGACAACAGAAACATAATGAAACCTTTGTTCAAAGTTTCGACCTTATTAATAGTAAATAAGAAAGAAAGAAGAAAAACATTACATAATACTGATACTTTTAGATATTAATTCATTAATAGCGTGTCCTAGAGGTACATATAAGGACGTATTAGAACCATTGGAAAAGTGCTTTCCATGTCCAGATCATGCTACAACACTCGATGTGGGAGCTGAGTCCATCGACGACTGTGTCTGCATTGAGGGCTACGATGGAAATCCTGCTACAGGTCAACCATGTGAACGTAAGTGTGAAATGTCAAGTACATACAAACAAAATTTAAAAAATTAGCCAAATTCTTGAAAGGTTTAAAAGAATTATGAATATAAGTTCTGTGCTATACGGACGTCACAGTACTATAGAGAGTGACAGTGGACTTGTACCACTTTTGAGAAATACCAGGCGACCTTCGCATAACCTTCAAGAAAATGCTTAGAAAAGTAACCTATTTAACATTTTGGAAAGAGACTAGAACCATATAAATCCGGATTGTTAAAAACCTGCCTTCATTCCCTTGATTTTAAGCACCGTTCATTGTACCCCACCCCCTCACCTTAGGCCTACCCATTTTGTCCCCTCCACTTTCATCGGACATGACCATCATGATTGATCATAGGCCTGTCAATTCAATTATCCTCGATACGCTTGCGTTATCACCAGAAGGAAACAACTTGCTGTGAACGCAATAAACAAAAAGACAGCACTCTGGAACAGAAAAGAAAAAATTAGATTAAAAACAAGACTGAGGTTGTACAACTCACTAGTGAAACCGGTGCTTTTATGCAATAGTAATACATGGGCCTTAACGAAAGACGATGAACTAAAGCTAAACACTTTCCATCGTAAGCAACTCCGAAAGATTATTGGACTGAAATATCCCCATAGAATATCAAATAAACACCTTTATGATTAGATGTACGGCGAGACCCTTGTCACTAGAAATTTTAGAATCGAGATGGCGATTATTTGGCCACATCCTGAGACAAAACACAAACAATCCTACAAACATGGCAATCAACTTCTACTTCACCGAGACCAATAACAGAAAATTCAGGGGACGTCCAAGGACTACAATAATCACAACTCTCCATAACGACCTTAGTAAGATCCAGTCTACCAATACCCAATATCCTGCTCAACTAAAACTCAAAAATGATATGGAGAAATTAAAATTACTGGCACAAAACAGACACATTTGGAAAGGGCTCATCGAGGATCTAAGTAAAGCGGCCGAAGCGGAACTGTCATCGGACTTTTCGGCGATACGGCGATGATGATGATGATGACGCTTGCGTTAACTTGAACACAATTAAAAATATCATTTGCAAATTATGATTCCTTTTCATAGGTAAATTAGGGACACAATTATTGTATAGCCTTCACCCATTGTTAATCTTCACTATAGCCAACAGCCAGTTCTGAGGATTTTTAATGTTATCCTGCAATTAACGGAATAGAACAAAAATGATTGCGACTCTTCTTTAAGTCAACAAACTTTAAAATATGCAAAAGCAATTTAATGGCCACCGGGATGCCAAAAGTGTAAAATATGATGGAAAGCACAAAATCGGTTGCACATTCAATTTTCAATTCAATTTACATTTATTAGTATATGACCAACTTCACCACAGGCGCAGTGGTTCTGCCAAAACTTGCAGCAAATACAAATGATAGTTAAAGATATTCATAAAAGCATTTTTCATATGATGATTTATGTTATTGTTTCATTCTACGCCATACTCAGTATCAACATGTCCAGTCTTAACGCCACCAATCAATGGAAAGAAGATACCAATAGACTGTGGTAATACATTCAATACTCGCTGTAAGTTCGAGTGCAACGAAGGATACCAGTTAACCGATGTGAGATCTAAGGCGAGGCAGTGTCTACCAACAGGAGCCTGGACCGAATCACAAGCTTTATGTGAAAGTGGGTTTTTCTATATTATTTTTTACTGCATTGTTCGTTACTCCATATAAAGCGCAATCGTACTGCATGTGACATCAAGTTTCTATACATATAGCTTTGGAAATATATATAGAATAATTGAATAAAACATGATTGTAAAAATAAATTTAATTTTCTGAAGTTTGAACCTTTAAACTTTTCAGTAAGCAGAGTAAACATGTTACTTCCTTGAGACACGTATGTAATTTATTCAGTTTTTGCTAATACGCCTTTTTTTACTACAAACATTTTTGAATTGATTACCAACAAATGTATGGGTCTTTGAGTTAAAAAAAACTTTACTCTTCATTGTTCAGTGGACACTATTAAATTTCCAGTGTTCAAGCTAATACTTTATTAGACAAGATGGTTTGTATGTTGGTCTGAACATCTTTCAAGTCAACTGGTATTTTTATCATCAAACTTGATAGTGTGCAAAGAGCTTAAACATGCGAGAATTTTTATTATCACATTATAATACATATTTTCAAAATTTTCCTGATAATCAGCTGACCTCTAGGTTACTTGAAAGGTCTACCTTCCGTAACATTGTTCATATGTTTTGTGTAACTGAAAAAAGAAAAGTTGGGATTGGCTTTATATTGTTTGGATTTCATTTTTTTCCATCTTACTTTTGTTTTGATTGTTTGGTTATATTAGTTTGGTTATGGTTCTGATATTTTGCTATTGAACCTATGGTTAAATTTACGAGTGTCACTGTTCTACATGTTTACGTTAAAATAAATAAACTAAACTATGTTGTATACGTTTTATACAGAAATCAGGTGCCAGAGCCTGTCGTCGCCAGCATTTGGAAGTAAAGATTGTTCAAGTGTTGACAATGTGTTTGATTCTGAATGTACATTCAAATGTAACGAAGGGTATAACATACAAGGAAGTGCCATTAGAAAATGTGCTGCAAATGGACAATGGACAGGAGATGCCGTGAAATGTGTAGGTAAGACATACCTGCGTCAGTAGAGGTATGGAAACAGGGAGGTATAAAGATATCATATACTGTAAATAACACTTACTGTGTTGGATTGATAAAGCACGGCCTCCAAAAACAAATGTCCTTGGTTTAATCCTCTTTATTTCCTTTCCTTAAAATTAACGTTCAATGAAATAACCAATGTTACTTTTTCTACTTGTTTGTCCTTCCTTCGTTAGGAATAAGTTGTCCAGCCATCGCTCTACCAGAGAACGGAGTGATAGCGCCAGGGAATTGCGCTCAAGAGAGACAGACCTTAGGTGCACGGTGTGTTGTTGGATGTAGGAAAGGATATGAAATTATTGGTGATGAAATCTTGCAGTGTCAACCTTCAGGTGAATGGAGTGGTAACGGGAATAATATCCTCTGCATAGGTAATGTATCACTTTATGCATTCTTAAATTAGAAATAAATTTTAAGTCTAAAACCTTTTTAATATTAGTAATAATAATAATAATAATAATAATAATGATGATGATGATGATGATGATGATGATGATGATGATGTTGATGATGATGATGACGATGATGATGATGGTAGTGGTGGTTGTAGCGAGGATGATGGTAGTAGTGATGATAATGGTGGTGGTGTTGATGATGAGAGTGATAACAATAATGAATCATTTGTATTATTAAAGCTTTTTCCACACTCTCAAATATTATATAACAAATAACTGTGATATGCCCATATATGGGTGTAATATGACGTCATCATGCCCGGGCATACATGAGCACATCAGACAAATTTGTGTGGCAGAACTGAAGAAGATCGTTTATCTTTTTTTTCTCTCTCTCTCTCTCTTTCGTGGGAGCAGCCTACCGTTATTCTCTTTTTTTTCAGTATACATTTCATACAAAACGTATTCTTGTTGTAGGCTATGTATTCACATTCATACATAAACACACATACAAGCATATACGTAATTACATACATGTGTACATACACATTATTTAAACATTTACATATTTAGTACTGTAAGTAAAATAGGTTTACAGAACATTATGTTTACAGTTTATATTCAGCATATACTAAACCTGTTTTATTATTGTCCCTTAATGGTTTTAATATAGAATTGTTTCAATTTATATAAAACAATTTGTTTAAATATGTACATATTATATAGACGTATTAATTCATTTAAAATAAATTATACGGTATACTTTTCACATTGTTGTTGTTTTTTTTTTATAACCATGTATCTTACAAGGTTAAACTAAACTACAATCACTTACACACATATACATATCTTAACGTTATCTTATTTATAGATGGAGAGCCACCTGAGGTAACTTGCCCAAATAGTATAACCGTCGAAACAGAACCCAGCTTGGACAGTGCAGTGGTGCACTGGGATGATCCGGTGATTACAGACAACGACCCTGTGAATCCACCTCGTATTGAAGTCAACCCTGTTGGTACTAAATCTGGAGATAGGTTTAAAATTGGATATTATGTTATAACATACAAAGCAATTGACAAAGCTGACAAAGAGAACGTCTGCTATTTCAAAATCACTGTCCAAGGTTAGTAGAGTCCTGACCCGACTTTCAAATTTTATTTGACAAAAACATGTGACATGCCTAAATATGGTCATCACACCATGACCCATATAGTCACATCATCGCCATATACGTTCACATCATCACCATACATAGCACATCATGACTATATATGGGCAAACAACAGTTTTTTTTAAAGAAAATTTGAAAGTCTGGATAGAGCTACCGTATTTTGACTATCAGCGCCATCTTCTGACAGCTGAAGAAATTTTTTTCGAAGACAATTCCCCATTCTAAATCTATTTACTTTGAAATTGAAAACATGTATTGTTAAATATGAGGGGCTTCCTTTTTAATTAGTCAATACCTTTTGTTATTGTACGAAAATAATTGCCGTTTAACTTCACCACCATAATCATCAGTCTTGACTCTGTCAGCATAATTGGTAAGACTTTGGTGTGACGTTGTTTTTTTTTTCTTTTTTTACACAAGACAAAGAAAAGCCAATGGTTGTAGGCTGTCCAGAAAAGATTAGCGTTAAATCTCAAGAAAGATTAACACCGGTAAATTGGGAAGAACCAACATTTTCTGATAACTCTGGTGCAGATCTGACTATCACTCGTGTAAGTAAAGCATTTTCCTGTCATTATGTAACAACCTGGGTTTTGCGATTTTGGGAGTGCAGTTGCTTATTGGTTAAAAGTGTTATTGTGCGTTTAATCAGCAAGTATGCATCCACCTTTGTCATTTTAAGACTTTACCACAGACCTACTCTTAAAGCTATTCTTGAATAATACAAATATGCGAAGAGGAGGAGAGACAACAAGAAGAAACCAGAAAATTCAGGGAGACAGTAGAGATAACTGACAGAGAGGACGATAGAAAAAAGAAAGAAAAAACAGTGAGACAAAAGAGACAATAAATAATCCTTTTTTTTTTGTCAAACCGTAGACGCACAACCCCGGAGACAAGATGGTATGGGGAAGTCACTTGGTTTCCTACACAGCAAGCGATCCAGAAGAGCTAAAAGCTGTTTGTACGTTCACGATAGAAATTGGCCGTAAGTTTAGAAAGTACTACTTATTATCAAAAAAATACAATAACAGTATGTGTAGACGTCAACCGGAATCACAAGAGGGGAGAGGGGGGAGATTTGAGAAAGAAGGGGAAAAGAAAAGGAAAGGTAAATAAAAAGAGAAGAGAAAAATAAAGACAAGAATTAAGAGGAAGATACCATAATGACCAGATTCACAACACCCTGCAACTCCTTCTCTATTTCAAAAAGTGCTCCTTTGATCTAAGCCGCCAGATATTCTCCGCAGTGGCGTAACCAACGGAGGACAAGGGAAAAATATCCATTTGTGGAAAATTCCCCACCCCTCGAAGATGCCGTTTTCACCCCCCTGAAAGTGCATTTCTTGTTAAAGTAGGCCAATTTCCTCTAAAAATTGCACTTCAGGGAGTTTTGATCAATTCCGATGAAATTAGAATTAAAAACACAACATTTTTTTGCGCGCTTCTCGCGCATTTTTTAGGGCTTTTTAGGATTAGCCTTCTAAGTTATTTAAACACATAACAGTCCCAAACTCAAGAAAGAAAATTTAAGATAGATCCTTTTACCTAAAAGAAGGGCCTTAATGTGTAATGATGGTGAAAGAATATGTTTGTAATAAATAAAGCCGTAATGAAAATGCTTATATTCAGTTTTAAAAAAAAACGTGTGTGGCCATATATAACATAAGCCCTATAAAAAAAAAAAAAGAAAATTGCGCGCTTCGCACGCATTTTTGGGGGTGAGTACTTGTGCTAGTCCTCATTTGCCTTCCAAGTTAATTGAACGCATAATAGTCCCAACTTAAATAGAAAGAACATTTAAGATAGATCGCTTTACCTAAAAGAAGGGCCTCAATGTGTATTGGTTAAAGAATATGTTTGTAATAAATAAAACCATGATGAAAATGCTTAAATTTAGTTGGTTTTTTTTTCATCAATGACAATATATACACTTTCCTATAAAGCAGTATTAATTAAATGCTCCGTGGAGGTAAAATATGAATAATAATATTTATATCTAAACTAATATTTTATAGACGATAAATAAATCTTTATTACAGCGACTGAATGTGAGAACTTTCCGGCACCTATTAATGGAGCACGAGCCTGCGACCAATGGTTGTTTGGCATGTTCTGTCGTGTGTACTGTAATAAGAAATACGATTTTGCCACCATCCCTGCCAAATGGTACGTGTGCCAATCTAGTCAATGGACCACTATCCCACCGCTGCTTGAAATTCCCTGGCCAGACTGTTCAGGTATGACGGTTTGAATAATACTTCTTTAAGCATGTCAGTAGGGTTAGCCTTGTTCTGAACTTCCTTTAATTCCTCTCCATTTCTCTCTATCCCTGAAGGTATACCGTATGTCATGCCTACACAGTGTGTCTCGTACGGTATCAGCCGGCTATGTGTTTTATTATTATTGTTATTATTTTACGTTTTGGCTTCAAACTTTATATATCTTTCCTAATTTTTATTGTCTCTCGATACGTTAATCAAACCATCTTAGACAGGATATCTAATTTGATTTTTTACCAGTCTGCAAATTTTCCACTTTCTCCAAATAAATGAATGTCTTAACAGAAAAGCGAGTAGCAACTCAGGCTCGTAAAGGAATGAAGACACAGTATTATGCCGGGAACTGCAATTCTCAGAAAACTAAAAAAGCTATCCAAAAAGCATTCATCAAAGCATTTCAAACAAGCTCATTCAGTTCATCCTGCCAGGTGGAAGACGCGTGTGTCATTGAGAAGGTTACTGTCTATTGCGGTGAGATTGACGACAGTGTTGGCAGAAGACGTCGGGATTTAACTCAGCAAGGATTCAACATGGTCGCAACTATTGACTTCAATATGACTGCCAGCACGTACGAAGATTTTCAGGTGACATTATAACATCTTTAACGAATTGATATTGACTAAAATTTATTCTGCCTTTTACTATCTTGGTAAACACCGATATAACATCATGCTCTTTATAAACCATTTTCAGGACGACAAGTTAGGTGAACAGAAACTCAATGAGCTACTAAGCATTTTAGATGATACAGGACGTCTTTTTGAGAACAATATTAAGACGGGAGCAATGGAGCTTGTACTTGAAGACGAAAATGACGAAGTGCTGGAAGTTGACGAAGAGTCCTACGAAATTAACGAGAGTGAACCCTTCTGTACGAATGGAACAGTATTGCAAAAAGGAACTAAATGCGGTGAGCGATGCACACTATCTCATTTCAATAATTTTAAGTATCATTTCTTATTATAATTCGTTGTTCTGGTTGTATTATCATTATACCATTATAAGTGTTAGTCTGCTACCTTACAAGAAATTTTTTTCTTTTTAAATGATTCACAAATCGTTCTATACTTTTATTGATAACATAGTTAACTGTCCAGTTGGTACTTATTACAATCTGGACTCGGATACGTGTATGACATGTACTGCGGGCATGTATCAGGACGAGGAGAGCCAGACAGAGTGTAAGCATTGCGAGGAAGGAACATGGACAGTTGGAAACAACGCCAAAAACTTTACTTCTTGCAAAGGTGGGTAATAACCTTAGGCCGGTGGGGGGGGGGGGGCTCCTTTGTCGATGATCGCGCGCCGAACGGATTATGTTGAATCTCATTCGTTGTTCTGGTTGTATTATCATTATACCATTATAAGTGTTAGTCTGCTACCTTACAAGAAATTTTTTTCTTTTTAAATGATTTACAAATCGTTCTATACTTTTATTGATAACATAGTTAACTGTCCAGTTGGTACTTATTACAATCTGGACTCGGATACGTGTATGACATGTACTGCGGGCATGTATCAGGACGAGGAGAGCCAGACAGAGTGTAAGCATTGCGAGGAAGGAACATGGACAGTTGGAAACAACGCCAAAAACTTTACTTCTTGCAAAGGTGGGTAATAACCTTAGGCCGGTGGGGGGGGGGGGGCTCCTTTGTCGATGATCGTCGGCCGCGGCCGACTCGATCCTATGGAGAACCACAATGACGCGCGCCGAACGGATTGTGTTGAATGAAGATTTGTTCAGACTGACGCCGGTAATTAGCATGCGGCGTAGCGTCGTCTAGTGCCCACAGGGAGCGGAGTTTGATCCGGCGGTCGACGGTTGTATGTCGTGGAGAGTGCCCGGCCTTCACTAGACTGCAATAACTGTTTAGAAAAACTTTTAAACTCATTCTCATTTTCAAGTTCGTTTTGTCTGTGATAGAGATATGTGAACCTGGTACTTACTCGGCGACTGGACTTGCAACTTGTAAATCGTGTCCAATCGGCATGTACCAAGACGAGAGGCGACAATCATCCTGCAATTCTTGTCCAAATGGCACGACTACCTGGACCTTTGGAACCAAGAGAGTAGAAGATTGCCAAGGTAGGTCAATGCAGTATGAATAAGGCCCAGTCTAAAGATCCATCGACACAGCTGATAACTTTGGGAAAACAAGAGAAAATTTATCTTTTAACACTACTATTGTTAACTCCTATTGTAGGCACATGCCTCCCGGGTACATTTTCTGTTACTGGTATTTTACCATGTGATCCATGTCCGGTTGGTTACTATCAAAATGGAAGGCAGCAGAGACAATGCATCCTGTGTGAGGGTAGTTTAACGACCTACTATGAAGGGTCAACAAGCCGAAGTCAGTGCGTAGGTAATATTGTGTATCTATATAATCTTTGTATTTTCATACAATATTTGCAAGTTGTTATTGAGCATGTTCAGCTTTCTTAGAGTGATATTAGAGAGCTTTCAATTTTCGCGACGATGTGATGCCATAAGGGGTTCACTTATGCGTAACCGTGCTACCGTTTTCTGCACAACGTAGATTACGTTCTTGCATGCGCAGATGATTTCTATGTGACGTTATTACGTTCTACATCCTATCCTCATTGTGCAATGAACGCTACATATTGTAGGTTTTCTTGTTCACGTTTTGCTTCATAGGTGCGTAATTATACTCTGTAATTCGTTAGGGCTATGTTCTCACACGGCAGCTAACGGTTAGCAGGATCCGGATCCTGCTAACCGTTGAGCTGCAGTGCGTCCATACGAAAAGATCCCGATCCGGATGCCAAGAATATGATGATCGAATCACTGGCCAATAAGAAACTGGATATTTAAACGCGTACGTGCGATTAGTTGATGATAGAGAAACGCGCTCAACCTGCTAACCGATAGCGCTTGCTAACGTTAGCGGTATCCGGATACCGCTAACGGTTAGCGCTAACCGATCGGGCGTTCTCACACAGGTGCTAACGGTTAGCGCTAACAGTTAGCTTCTGATCCGGATACTAGGGATCTCGTGAGAACCAGGCTTTAATCTTTAATAACCAAAAGATTAACTTCCAGACTGGCATAATCCTTAAAACCACACACAAAAACCCTTTCACATTTCAGATATCGACGCGTGCCTTTCGATGCCCTGCTTATTTGGTGGTACGTGTATTGATGAGAAATTTGGTTTTCGGTGTGAGTGTCCGGCTGGGTTTGATGGTACTACATGTGAAAACAACATTGATGAGTGTTTAGCAGTACCGTGTTCCTTTAATGCTACGTGCGTTGACAGAGGTAACTCTATACATTTTCCATCCCGGTCTTCGGGTGAAATTAGCCTCAGCCTCAGCAAACTCATAAAAGCATCAGCAAGTGTTATACATTATTTATATAGCAGCTCGTAAACAATTATTCGTTTACACAGCACTTGATTAATTTGGTGCACTCAGAACATAATATGAAAAGAATGGTTATAGAATTTGTAAGTAATGACATTTGAGGTGTTCAAATTTGTATCTCCAATTTTCAAAGTGAATGACTTTTCGTGTTTATGTCGTCCCGGCTACACTGGACGTTTGTGCAGCAGCGAAGTAGACGAGTGTTTGTCAAATCCATGTCAAAACGAGGCTGCTTGTCAAGACGAAGTAAGTTATTATTATTTCATTAATTATTCATTATATTATATATCACTAAATTATTTATCCCACTTGTTTGTTTGCGACTACCCTTCAGTATGCGGTTGTATTCTCAGATTGATGGCTATGTTTGCAACTGCGTGAACGGATTCTCTGGTACATTTTGTGAAGTTGCGCCGAATAACTGCAACGTCGGTGCATGTTCACACCGTGGTAGGTGTTCCAATCGTGCCAATGGATCGTTCCGGTGCACTTGCTGGTCGGGTTATAGTGGAATGTTTTGCGAAAAAGAGATCGAAGAGTGTGATTCTAATCCATGTCAAAATGGGGCAAGGTAAACAAAAAAATCATGTATAATTCAATAAATTAAAAACTCTCATGGTAAACAATTAATTTGTCTTTTTTTTTTTTTTTTTTTTTTTTTTTTTTTTTTTGTTCCCTTAAACGTTTACCTGTCACCCAGCATCTTCGTTATCTTCTTTTTTCGGTCCTCCCTTAAAAAAAAAAAAGAAAAAAGAAAAAGAAACACCACACAGGTGTGTATCTAAACAATCTCAATCATCCTTTTATTTCTTCCTTCTTGCCTCTTCTCTTCTATTCTTCTAGAACATTTTATGACAATGCACTGTGTATTACCAATTCATTAACTTCTGCTCTCTATAATCTACCGCCTTTCTTAAATTATTGACTTGTCATTGCACGTCTTCCTATTGAAATACAATGCACTTAACGACATCATATTCTATTTTTAAGCGTTTTGTCTCAATTTACCTCCAGTTGCATCGACCTCATCGGGTATTTTCGGTGCGCATGTCCTGTTGGATTTGAGGGCGTCTTCTGTGAGGTGAACATTGATGATTGTCAGCAAAATCAGTGTCAACACGCTGAATCGTGTGTCGACGAAATCGGAGGCTATCGATGCTTATGTGAACCATCGTATTCCGGAACGTTGTGTGAGGAACGTAAGTCTACCGCGACTACCTTACATCTGTATACGTATGGTTATTACCTATGTTTAATTTAGGCTATGACGGTTTCAGTCAAGTTACTATAATTTTACCTAACTGAACATAAACCTATCTAATAATGGGAAATAATCATTTAACATAAGCCCATCTGTTTTAAAATAATACATGTATTTCCTCTGAAGATTATATTTTTCATTCAATTTTCAGATATCTCGGATGATTTTACATTACATTTTCCTTCAGCGATGGTTTCAGATTACTCTTTTATTAATAGAATACCAGGTTTCCGTGCAGTCACCATTGGCTTTTGGATGAAATCTTCAGATCAAAGTCACATAGGAACTCCGTTTTCATACGCTGCGTATCTAAACGGTTCGCTCATTGATAATGCACTTACGTTGACGGATTACGCGGCTTTTAAGTTGTTTGTGAATGGTGAACAAGTTTTTACAGACGTCGGTGCTAACGATGGAAAGTGGCACTACATCGCGTTTACATGGGAAAGTTTTGGTATGATAAATATTAAAGCTACAGTTAGAGAAACATACAAAATATCCGGGTTTCTTTCAGATTTTTTTTTTTTTTTTTTTTTTTTTTTTTTTTTTTACATACAATCAGCTCGGAAGCATGATATTTTCTAGATGACCCCCTGATCTCATTTCTATGAATTGAAGGACAGAATTAAGTGGCACAATCCATAAAATAGCAAAAGAGATTTCCTGTGTTTACATTTTGCTATATTTATCCCTATTATTTTGATCAAATATAAAAAACGGAGTAATCCTTTAAACCGGAGCACGACACAACCTAGACGGTGACATACGTCTTTCTTAAGACGTCAAAATTTGAAGGACATTCCTCGAAAAACATTTTTCCTAGACAAACAAATGTCTAATATTGATAATAAAAGTATTATCATTCGGTCTAGACATACTTATCTGGCATTACAATGCTGATTTTGAGTCAATTACTAACCAGAACCTAAATTTATTACAACTATCTAGGTGGTTCTTGGAAGTTCTACAAAGACGGTCAAGTAGCAGCCAAAGGCGACGGTTTCCGTTCCAACCAGTACATCCCTCCAGGTGGGACAGTAGTGATTGGCCAAGAGCAAGATGCCTACGGTGGCGGCTTCAGTGCCAAAGAAGCATTTTTGGGTGATATCAGCAGGTAGAGGATACTAAAAACTCTTCTTGAGGAAACATTAATATATATATAACATATATTGTGTATAAGAGACAGGTACATGATAATCCCATTAAATCCCGTTAAAGTTTAGTATATTCCTGGTGGATTACGGATAGGAACCTAATCTCGTTGAAGACTCTCTTACGATAGCCAAATCAATCGAAAACTGAAACATGTTTAATAGTATAATAATGACTCGCATAATTAACTTTATTGTAAATGGTTTCATTACAACACAAGAATCGTGGTATTCACTATTGTGTGAATGCACTTTTGCAATAGGAGGCCTAGTAAGCAGCCAGAATGAAGAAATTCTAAACATACAAAACTACACTTCATGAAAAAACCATCAGATACATTACCTATTAACAGAAAAATATTATTCTATTTCCAAACGTTTTAAACAGATTAAATATTTGGGATACTGCACTTTCTCCAGATGAAATTCGTCGTCTGTCAAGCAACTGTCGAGGAGTAAATGTGTCAGGAATCGTCAGGTCGTGGGCAGACTTCTTACCCAATCGACAAGGAGCAGTCACGGAAATTAGTCCATCACAATTTTGTTCAGGTAAATGTGGTTCATTCCACAATTGCTATTAGTATTTCAAGAATAATATATATGTAATTCTATTTAGATGAATAATTATATCGCTTATATTGCATTGTATTTTTATGTATCTAAAAATTGCTATTTCAATACCTTTAAGGTTTAATTTTGAGACATTGTAAAACATGTTTAAGTCTTTATTCGATGTTTTCTCTTTTAATGACGTTTCGCTACAGCAGTAAATATTTACTAGATCCAGATGATTGTCTTCTTTAACATTTATATATTTTCCTATATTATTTATGTTTTAGCGACAGCAGTCTTTTGAGCTGTATTTGTATTTTTTCCTATAGTCGTACCTGAACATTGGCAAAGTTAATATTGTTCGAAATTGTTATTACATGAAATGAAATGTTAAGTTACATTATCTTCAATAGATCTTGATCAGTGCCAGCGCAAAACATGTTTGAATGGAGGAAGGTGTGTGGATGAGGTGGACGACGCTTACTGCGCATGTGTATCCGGATACCAAGGGGATAGATGTGAAATTGCCAGTCAGAATTGTAATCCAAATCCGTGTAACCACGGGACATGCGCAGATGATGGCAGTTCATATGTTTGCGCATGCCTGCCTGGATTTGTAGGTAGGCCTGAATCTTGTGATACTTTTATAGATTTAGCCAGTGGTAATGTAGACCTATCCAATGATGTATGATCAATATTAATAAATTCGCAATTTTTAAGTCAGCATATCCTAATTATATACTGGTAAGCATTATGTGAACATATTATATTAGGTATAGATATAGATCGTTCTCATCTCATTGTGATTGAGATACAGTTTTTCTAACAGTTACAGTTCAGTGGAATGAAGATAATAAATAAATTTAAATACGATGTATTTTATTGCGCGGTTATTACGATAATAATGCATTGAAAAGGTATTTAAAACAATAAATAAGTTAATATATTTTTATGTACTTATAAAGGAAATGTTTGCGAGATCAACATTGATGACTGCGAATCTGCTCCTTGCCAACATGGAGGGCGCTGTATCGATGGAGTTAAGAGCTTCCTATGTGAATGTGTGCCACAGTATAGGGGAACATACTGTGAAATAGGTAGGCATTTTTATGGGGTCTTCCACGATTAAAAACAAAACAAAACAAACAAAAACAAAAAAAAAGTCTCAAGCCGCTTTTAAGCCACTACAGAACTAAAAAAATGGACGAACACGAAGCCTCTTATAAATAACGATCTCAGTTGGCAACATGATACATTTTAAATGAACTGAACTTTTTACCTTTCACTTCATTAGTGGCTAATCTTATTTCAATGAAAGTTTTATAATTGTTTTTTTTTTAATTGTAGTGTTCATTTTTTGTTCAGTGAAGTGTAATTCCATAGGTGTATTTAGTACATACCAAATGTTTTAAAGTAATATTTAAATAAAATTGAGATTAAATAAAGATGTGTTGAATTTGATAATTTTTACAAACTCGAATAACAGGTTTACATTCAAATGTTATATTCCTCTACTTAGTAGATAAGATTCGTTGTTAATAGCTATTCACTTTCAAACTAAAAAGAACAGTCAACAGAAAAAAAATTAACCCTCTTCCTTTGGAAAAGTTCAGACGAAAATTTTATTTTTTATTTTTTTACTTTACCTTACAGAAGTGGAGTGTGTGCTTTTACCGCCAATTCATGGTAGTGTAACGCCTAAACTCTCTAGGTACGCTCATGGAGAGCAGGTTACCTACACGTGTGAAGAGGGTTACCGATTACAAGGAAGTGAACGACGCACATGCAACAGGGAAGGTAGTTGGACGGGAACAGATTCGCAGTGTATTGGTAGGAAATGTGGTCTGTTACTAATTAGAAAACAATAGACTGTCTTTGAGACGATAATATGACACATCGTGAGAACCCATTATGATTCTCCGTATACTACACGAAACCCTAACCATGGAGTTATGGTCTACTTTATGATCCTAACCTATGTTTTGAAACTGTCCGGTTTGTGGCGCCAGCACTTTTTCGTGGCTATGCAAAAAGCCTGGTTTCCATAAAAATCGCTACATGCTATCGCTGACACCATTTGCAATGCTGATTGGTCAGTTGAATCAGGGAGCGTCAGCGTTCCCGATTGCGTCGGGGACAGCAACGCACCAGTGCAAGGATTGCAGTGAAAACGCGATTGCAATCGCACACGCTATCGCTAGCTTCTGATGATGCTGATTTAGTCGGTCGAATCGGTGAGCCATCCCGATTGTGTCGGTGACTGCTATGCAGTGCAACGATTGCACTGAAAACACCATGTAGCGATCTTGTATGGGGACCAATCTTAACGCTTGACCTATGTTTGCACACAACTTCAACATAGACAAATCAAAACACGTAATTCAGTAGCCAGGAAAGTGAAGTAGATTTGCGATTTAAGTTCCCACCACACCTTATTAACAATATTCAAGGTTGATGGTGCTTTACGGAAAGGTCCCTTAATAAATATATTGTAATTGTAATACTCATGATCATTTTATATAGATGTAAATGAATGTCTGGAAAACAACGGGTTGTGTGTGGAAGATTGCATCAACGTGGAAGGCAGCTACGAATGCGCTTGCCGTCTAGGTTTCCGTTCATCATACAGTAGAAGGTATTGTGTCGGTAAGCATATGGATTTCACACATTGTAGCATGATTTCAAAAAGATAATTCGATCACATCCCAATTTTTAGGCCCCATTGGAACTGTGGAGACGGCGTGTTCTAATTTCCACCACCCCTGGCATATCCTGTGCTTTGCATGAATACCCTACTATACATTGCAAGCGTAATCATAAAATATTCATTAAATGAGGATCTATACGACCGCTTTTCATCTTGTATGCAAACATAATTCAATAACCAGTGGTTGTTACGAAACATTCGTATTACATGAGGTATTCCACATAAGGAGATGAGTTGAATAGCTTGGTGGAACTTGCCTTTCACTCGAGGGGCCTTTGTCAATACCCTGTCACAGGGTGATTAAAAACAACTCGACCGCTTACTGAGGGGCGGATCCAGAGATGTCCAAAGGGGGGGGGGGGTGCGAAAGTTCGGCCGATCGAGACAACACTGTGTGTTCTAGACGCCCGAAAATAACATTTGAGGCGTTCTGGGCTATCATTTTTTTCTTTTTTTCTTTCTTTTTTCTTTTTGTTTACCTTCCGAAAGGTGGGGGGGGGGCAGGGGCCGGGCCGAACCCCCTAAATCTGCCCATAGTTACTAACCCTCGTAAAGCAGGAGAGTTCATAAAGCATTATAGCTCCATGTCTAGTGATCCGTATAGGCCAAAATAATTTATATTATGGGCATATAAAGAGTTTCATATTGTTGACGTTATTTGTTGGTAGATATAAATGAATGCTATTCGGACGTGGATGCAGGCGGATGTCAACAATTGTGTATAAACACACCTATGGGTCACGTGTGTTCATGCAGAGATGGTTTCGCACTTGTCAATACCAATTTCTGTCAAGGTATGGTTCATTGTAGAAATAGTAATGCAGTATTCAGCATTTTAGAAATCTCTCTGTGATGTTGATGTGCACGAAGTTTGTGCACAATAATAATAATAATAATTCTGGAAACACGTATTAGCATCATTGAATGCCAGCTACATAATATGTATTTATGTTTATTTATGCTTGCTCTACACTACGTAGATACATTCTGAAAAGAACTGATGTCTTTTTTTTGAGAATGAGCTTATTCGACTGGTTCATTTCGTTTCGAATTTTCGTTGAGTATTATTTTCATTCGATTGGTTCGTAAAATATACTTCGTTAGCAACGAAAATTAATGTAACCAGAGTGCGTTATCCACGTGACCAAAACAAACATGACCGATTGGTCAGTTTAAAAACAACATTTGTGTTAATAGGCCTATAATTTTAGATTAAATTTCAAAAGATAAAAATTATAAAATTTACCCACATGAAGTCAAAAAATAATTGTAGGCCAACGGAATTCAAAAACGGGATGAAAACATTTTTTTACGAAAAATGTATACTGCCTCAAGCCGAAGCACTCTTGATTACCCAGTGTGTATCGCGGTAACTATGCAGCCATTTTGTTTTGTCGAGTATTTACAAGTTTTTTATTCGACTGGTCGTCTTCGTTAAGTAGGATTTTTTCCACTGTGCAGGTGGGCGTGGTTTAACGAAGAACGACCAGCCGAATACGGCTATAGTCACGACCGAAGTTGCTTTAATCGTAAAGAGAGCCTTTTCACACCTGCAGTAGTCTCCACTATCGCTTATTATTATTTATTTTTTATTTCACAACTAAATCACACAATCTAAATTAGAAACAATAAAATAAGTAAAAGTGGGGATCTAAAATAAAGCAAAAGCTTGTGTTCATTAGGCCCAATACAATTTCAAAAATTTACATAAAATACAATACAAAACACAAAATAATAATAATAATAATAATAATAATAATAATAATAATAATAATAATAATAATAATATTAGTATATTATATATATATAAATTACATTTCTTTCAAGCAAATGATAATATTGTAATACAGTATGTACTGTATAACAGAAATTATCCCACCAAAGCAGCAGTCTCGAGCACTTTCCAATCATATACGTATTTTCCTGTTTGGACTCTGCAGATATAGGCTACTCCAGATGACGCTTAAAGCACTCAATCGAAACATCATTCTCAACAAAAACAACGGGTTGTTTTTTTTTCAGAACTATCTACGCGGTGTGCCGGAAGCACTTAAACAATACGTTTTTATGTTTCCTGTTTATAGGCCTATTTTTTTTCTTTACTGAAATGCATACACTTTCGTGATAAAATGACAGTCATGAGCAATATTTAATCATAATAAAAACGTGTACTAACAATATGTACAGCATGTGATGATTTTATCTTGTTTGTACGCACATTTTATTGCATGAATTATGACTAAACCATGAGATTTTGGAAATGTAACGTTAGTTGATGAGACCATGTGTATTTTCACAGATATCAATGAATGTGCATCGCCGCAAGTCTGCGAGCATTGGTGCTACAACACACTGGGAAGTTATCAATGCGCTTGTGATCCAGGCTATGAATTAAGTACTGACGGAACTACATGTTTAGGTAAAGCATACAGACAACCAACGAACTTTAATAGAAATTTAATTATAGAATTAGGAGAAGGCCAGCTGCATTCACATATCGGTTCCAAATCTGAAATTAGGAAAGCATTTCCAATGCGCTGAACGCCAGCCTCCCTATTTTCACATACTGATTCCATTTTCAGATCGGTTTTGAGGCATTCGCATCAGAAAATTCAGCTTCTGAGTGTGAATGCTCCTTTACGCTGGTCATACACTATTTCATATTATTTATCCGTCAGACTCAACAGATAATGTTTAATAGTACAGCACACATAATGATAAATCATGTAATAATAACGTTCTGTTTAGTTCAAAACAATTTTTTTGTAGAATCATAAATCTAAATTTTTCTGAATAAAGTTGCAAATGCTTCTGCAACGTTAACGTTACTTTCTGGCATAAAGCTTGGTTTCCATAGAATCGGTACACAGTCTCCACAGCGTTTTCACTGCAAACCTGCGTAACTGTCTCCAACGCAACAGGGAACGCTCCCTGAAGCTTTTCAATACAATCGCTACACGCTATCACCGACAGCGTTCGTGATGCTGATTGGTCAGTCAAATCCCCGATTGCACTATGAAAACACCGTAGTGACAGAGTAGCGATTTTAAGGAAACCAGGCTTTATTCAACTGACCAACCAGCGTCTCCAAAGGAGTCAGTGATAACATGTAGCGATCTTTATATGGAAATCGGGTTTAACCTATCAACATCTTCGACAATGTTATAATAACGCTTTTGTTTGCTGGAATATAACAATGTTTGGTAAATTTAGAACCTTTTTGTTGAGTAGCCGCAGAGAAATCTGAACGTGTATGCCTCCTTTTGAAGAGGGAAGTTTTTGCAGTACTTGCATCAAAATTAAAGTTTAAGTTAAAGTAAGCAAAATTGGAAAACCAGAGTAAAATATGTAGGTGAACTGGTCCGGGGGGCGAACTATTAAGCAACAACTGAACTATTTCAAGCTTCGCTGTTCTTATTTTTATGTAAATCACACTTACGACGTTATCCAAAATAGATCTTTCTGAAGTGTCAAAATCAAACTTAACTGCCCTATCAGAACCGTGTCAGGAATACGCGCAACATTTACGCTATTGTTTTGGTGGGACCTTAGTAACATCCTAGGGGCGGAGCTTAGCAGAAAGCTCTATTGAGTTAATTATTATCTTGGTTGGACGTTATTCTTACAAATGTGTCCTCATTTAGTCACAGGATGTGGACCAGCTCCTCGGCCAGGCAACGGCAGGGTGCATCACGTTGGGGCAACTGCAGTGTACAACTGTGAAGCTGGTTTCAACCTTATAGGTCCAACCAAAAGAACATGCGAACCAGATTTGCAATGGTCTGGAACCAACCCTTACTGTAAAGGTAAACCAGGACAACAACCGATAGTGGAGTAGCGTTGTATAGCTTAGTGGTTAAGATGCTTGCCTTCTAATACCAGGGTCCTGGGTTGATTCCAATAACAGCTAGAAAGTTTTTTCTTCACTAATAAAATCTCCACTCTCTAAGCTTCACAAGGAGACTCCCCTGATAAAGCATCACATGATTTCAATTACGTCAGTATTTAGAACGGCACACTGACTATTCCCTAACGGCACCTGGTCTCGCACCTACCTTGTTTGCTTGCTTGTTTCACTTTCATTAGTCTTTTTATCGGCGCATAGAGACTTGTATTATGCACCTTATAAATCCATAGATTGATTGATTGATTGATTGACTGACTGATTAGAGGGACCCTGAATATATCAGCGAATCCTAGGATACGCTGGAAGGGTTACCCCCTATAAATATGGCACAGTTACTGTATTTTAATAATCATAATTATTATAAAAACATTAAGCTGGTAATTAGTATAAGCTACCAAGTGACCGGTATACATGTATTTTTAACGCCTTGATATTTCATCATAAATACATACAGATATGTTTAATATTACGTTCTAGAAATTGTCTGCCCTGAAGTTAGTCCGATTGAAAATGGTCATGTACATGGCTCTGGTTTGACTGTTGGAAGCCAGGTCAGGTTCACCTGCAACGGGGACTATAGTTTAGATGGCACTTCTGTTCAAACGTGTGGTAATAATGGCCATTGGTACCCAACACAAAGACCGTCCTGTCAAAAATGCGGGCTGCCTATTACGCCATTCAACCATGGCTCAATGATTGTTTCAGTTGAGAACGAACGAACTAAGACGATTTCGTACTCTTGTGACAGCGGATATCGCATGAAGGGCGAAAACACACGTCATAATGTGTGCATATATATAGTCATGATGTGCCCATATATAGTCATGATGTGCCCATATATAGTCATGATGTGGCTATATATTATGGTCATGATATGTCATCATGACCATATTTAGACATTTCAGATGTTTTTGTTAAATATAATTGAGTCTGGACAGGACTTGACCCTGAATTCCGAACATGTGCATGGCCAATACTATATAAATACTGTACTGACTGCTCATGAGGGCAATGGTGAAATCTATTGCCCAAAGGTGATTTGGAGGTAGCCAAAGGTGATTTGGGGGGGGGGGGGCGAAGTCCTGACAGAAGATAGGCTACAATCTCCATATCACAGAGGGGCTATACAATTTACCACTCCCAGAATCTAGAGCAGTCAATATTTGTTTTATATATATGGTACCTCACACATACACCTGAAAAAGTTGAGACCTAAAAAAGTAATGAAAATAGTACACACCAATTAGGCTAGGATTACTTTCTGAGGTCCAATCTCTCTCAGCTAGCGTTGGAGTAGTCGCGTCTCCTTTACCGTTTGTGCGTGTCATAAATTACATTTGCACGGCAAGGCAAAGATTACTATCCCATAGGGTAATAACTGTAGTACTTTCTATTGCCTTCACTTCTTAACCAATCAGATGCCAAGAGTCTATGTATGAGGTACGTATATATATTGTATTTATGGCCTAATAATGGTGTTAAAGACTTGAGGGTAAAGTTCCCTTTCTGTCAACCCTGATTTAAGGTATTTTGTACGACATTTTGTGCGGCCTCTTTGAATAATAAGTGTATCAAAACCCCTACTTCTGTAATTGCCAGCAAAGTACCTCTACGATGGCATTAAGTGTACAGCTGCATTCACATCAAATCTGAACTGAAATTTGGACCATGTTTCCGATATGCTGAACGCCACCATCCCTATTTTCTTCCGATCGGTTCAGTAAGCCTTCCGATTCAAAAATTCAAATTCAGTTTGTTTGCAGCTTAACTAAATACATATTATTTTCTCCCGTTAAAGAGAAATCTCTTTTGAAGGACTTTTAATATAAAATTACCCTAAAGTATGCTGTGTTTTTTTTTCCACAACAGAACCATCATTTAAAAAATTAAAGGAAATTTAAAAATGAATATTAAGTTATGAAGTTTCTACATATACTCAAGTCACTGGCATTCAAGTCCTGTCCAGACTATAAAATATGCCTAAATATGGTCATGATGACATCACATCATGACTATATATGGATATACAATAATAATAATAATAATCTGGACAGGACTTAACACTAGAAGAAAATGTACTGACCATTACATCAAAGCACCTGTAGAAGACAAATGATTCCACTGTCCATCCTCGTTTATGGAATTTCTATATTATAAGTTCACAGTCAAGATTGCCTCCCTCCCTCCCGCCACCCCCACATTCAGCAATTTTCGGAGCATACATGTCAGACTGATTATTTCAAATTCCATGTCTATCATGCTGTAATGTTTTATGCAACAAATATCTGCCATTTGCCCATATATATAATACCTGCAATTAAATTTACAATAAAAAGGCTTAAGTTATATATATGTATACAGCAATTAACATGTTATTAATCTACAGTTATGATACAGTAACATTATCATATACAATGTTATACTGTGTAAGCGTAGATATTCTCAACTTCCTCATCCACCATTGGTTTGCGAAAGTGAAAATATTCCTGGCAGTTGTACCGAACGCCTCGGTCAAATGGATTGTGGTAGTGGTTGTTTCCGTCCTTCAGGTAATCATATTTCTTATAGTTGATTCGTTCGTTGGTGTTGGTATTTGTCATTGCCATATACCACTAAATAAAAAAAAATAATAATGATAACATAAAAATTATCTAATATATATTTGAAAAATGCCTGTATAACACCAGTAAACTTTACACACACTTTTGCAAAGATTGTTCTGCGTTATTTAGAACATGTTTCGAACTCTATTCAAATTCTAATAGGCCACACCCTATCTCAGTACAGCCTTTTTCATTTCATTGTGTCAATGTAAAATAAAGATAGTTGGACCTCTTACAATTCTATACTCTTGCTCTCACTTAATACTTAATTTGAGTATGGCTTACCGTAGCACAGCATAACCCTGAAGTTACTAAGCCAAAGAAACTGACTTCCAAAATGCCTATGATGTACAGCCACTGCCAGCCCTCCAAAGAGATTATAACATACGAGAAGTAAAAGGTGAACATGGCTAGCAGAGACACGCAACTTGTGAAACCAACAAAGTATGTCCTAAGCAGAAAGAAAATGTAGAATAAAATATTAGTGATTACTGTATGAGACAATCAGATTCAGATTTAGATATTCTTTATTGTCATAACAATTCTAAGATTTGTTTTCCTTGTTATATAGTAGGGTTAAAATAATTATAATAAAAATACATCAAAATACAAAATAAGATTGTTTTAGTTTTTATCAACCCTTAAAAATATTATCAGCAATATATATTTTATAACTCAATTATATTTGTGAGCATTATTCATTCTTTTGATTATCAATTATTCATATATTTTAATCATCAATTATTTATTCTTTTTGTTTATCAATTATTCATTATTCTTTGAATAATAATAAGGATGATTAGTTGATGATGTTAATAAAAAAATTTCAGATTAAATTTTATTCATCCAATAAAGAATAACAGTGAATCAATTTTCAAAACTTTAGTTAAATAATAGCCAAAAACTCCTAACAGACAATACCAAGATATAATTTAAGAATTATAATAAATCAAGATGTTTTTTCTATCTTACCTATTTTTATATCCTACGCAATTATACACATAAGGGCAGTGATGATCGAAGTGCTGAACACATCGGTTGCATATTCTACAGTGCTTCGCTCTCATTGGCTTCACTAGACGACACGTGTGACAAAGACGTTTCAACGGATTTTGACCCTGTTTCCATTCATCAAAGTGGGCAACCTTGAAAAAAATAGACATTATTAAAATAAAATTATAAATTTATTTTAGGAGATAACATACTTGTGCATAAATTTATCACTTCACTTGTTTTTTCATAATCTACCTGGACTAGGCCATTGGCCAAGGCCTATTTTGTATAAATTGTCTGTATTCAAAATAACATTTTTCTATCTCTGTCAATTTAAAGTCGGAGGTATGTCCTGGTGTTGACCCTCTATTAGATAGGCTTATCTTTATAAGATACCTTGTTCAAAGCAAGAAATCAAGTCTTCACCCAGTACCATTCTATATTATTCAGTGGGAATTTTTTCTTATTGACAAAATCCCTGCAAAACTGCTCTGCCTTTGAGATGTGCATTTTCAATTACATTGCTTAAAATCAACTGAGATGACATCAACACTGACAATAACAAAAACAACACTGATAACAACAACTTTCTGGTTTTACATACTGCTTTCAAAACACTTCACAATGTTGCCACTGACAACAGTTAATAATGTTGTTTGGACTTGCAACAACAATGCAAAAAAGAACTTGTCAGTGATGAATTTAAGGGGTGGGGGGAGAAACGAGCTGGCCAAGGGCCCCTATAAATTGTTCAAAATTATTTTTAAAAAGTGGGAGAAAAAGGAAAATACAGTCAGTAATAATCAAATTTATGTCTGAGAGTGTCATTTCCGGCCAACTAGAGGTGCCATAATCATATATTTTTCAGCCTCAACCATGGTGGGGCTGAGGTGGTCTAGACTCCCCATCTGTAAAAGTCAATGGGCTCCCTCTATCTTGAATTCCTGGATCCGCCACTGCAGGTGAAAACAAATTTAAGTACTGATTTTACGATTTAGACTGTGCCTTGGGGAAAGAGCTACTTCTGCAAAAGCTTCACTAAAGTCATTAAATATAATTTTCTTTAATGAAATCTTAAATTTGCTTTGATGTACTAGGAAAGTGTAAAGGTAGGTAGGGCTTATAAAGTCAACCGCCTCCCATACTCTAGTTTAAAGTCCCTTATTTGAAGTGCATTAAGGCGTTGCCATGATATTTTATATGAGACCAACGACATTATTATCCTGCATGCTTATGTACTTACTCTTTTAATGGCTTGATCATAATCTGATGAGTTTTTGGGAAGAAATCCTGGATCCAATGAGTATGCCTTATACAATGTGTACCACATTATAACATTAAGGAACAGAAACACATAATGAACACCAGGATTGAGAGCAAAAGTTGTAGGCACACACTGGAAGAAATTGGAAAGAAAAATAAAGTTTCTCAATACAGTAATTACAGAAAATTTGCTTAGTTATTAATTAATTCCCTCTTCCTCCTCTTTTTGTTGTGCACGGTAGTGGAGCCCTGGGCTTATCCTGGGGTGGAAGATGCTGATGCTCAACATACTGCCTTATGAGTATCTGCGCATACTTAAATGGGGAGCAACGCTGGCTCGTTGGGAAGATTGGTGTAAGGATTCTTCTTCAAATTATTAAGCGATTTAATGTGCCTTGAGCACACTTTTTGTAGATTATTATTATTATTATTATTATTATTACTATTGTTATTATTATTATTATTATTACTATTGTTATTATTATTATTATTATTACTATTGTTATTATTATTACTATTATTATTATTATTATTATTATTATTATTATTATTACTATTGTTATTATTATTATTATTATTACTATTGTTATTATTATTATTACTATTGTTATTATTATTATTATCATTATTATTATTATTACTATTGTTATTATTAATATTATTATTATCCTTATTATTATTACTATTGTTATTATTATTATTACTATCACTGTCATCATCACTGACATCATCATCATCATCATCCTCTTTGTTCATCATTATTGTCTTCCTTCAATACACTCTTTGTTTATAATCATCCTATTTGTTTATCCTTACAATTACCATTGCAGTCCTCATCACTGTCATTGTCATAATCATCAATCATCACATATTAACATTTTTTTATAAATGCTCAGTGTCACTTCGGTAGTATTTTACTTACCTTAAACATGTACATAGGGTATCCCCAAAATAAAACATTGAAAATATAAAAAAGAAATGGACCCTTGCTTTTGCCTGCTGGCCCAAATATAATACTCCTAGAAAATAAAGAAAAAAATACCTCATTAGATTCAAGAAAATTACAAATTTGGTTAGTATGTTCACAAGTGACAATAATATCCAAGCTACTGTAACTTTTCGCAAAAAATCTGGACCTAGATCTGAATAATCGGTAAAATTCCTTTTGGAACATCGCAACAATTGGGTCAGAGTCATAGTCTCATGGGTTGCTAGGAAAGTGAAAAATGATGTAAATAATTAGGAATGAAAACCACCAAAACTTAAAAAATAAATAAATCACACCATGAAATATCCTATAATAACCAAAAAACAGTGAAGAAGACAAGGAACCACACACATACAAGGGTATTACAATGGTTCCTAAACCAAAAACATACTTAAAATTGATTCGTGGAATGAAACTAGCTTTGATTTTACTCTCGCCCTCCAAGTAAGTGATGAGATCCTTGTGGTTACGCCCTTGCGCTAACATCATCGGTGTCTTATGGTTGTGATCTGGCCTGTCAATTTCAACCCCATCTTGCTCGCAAAGCATCTTTACTGTGTTTAGGTCACCGCTTATACAAGCAAGGTGGAGCGGAGTCTGAGGAAATACAGAAGGAAAAATAATAACTGTGTTATCAATAATTATTAGTATTGCTGGAAATGTACTATAATAGTAGCAACAGCAGCTGCACAACAACAGTAGTACAATATCACTGCAGCAGCACAACAGTAGCACTGCAGCAGCACAGTAGTAGCATCATAGCAGCACCAGCACAACAACAGTAGCATTACAGCAGCAGTTACACAATACCAGCAGCACTGCAGCAACAGCACAACAGCAACTAACAGAAGTAGCACAAGAGAAGCTGGCCAACAGCAGTAGCACAACAGCAATAGCAAAATAGCAGCAGCTCAACAGCTGCAGCAGCCCAACAAAAGTAGCACAACAGCAGTAGCATGGCAGCATCATCACAGCAGCACAACAGCAGTAGCACAACACAAGTAGAACAGAAGTAGCACAACAGCAGCAGGTCAACTGCAGCAGGACAGAAGTAGCCAACAGCAGTTGCACAACAGCAGCAGAAACAGAGCAGCACAACAAGAGTAGCACAACAGCAGCAGGATAACAGCAGTAGCAATGCAGCAACATTACAGAAACACCATAACAACAATAGCATGGCAGTAGCAACACACAACAGCAGTAGCACAATAGTAGCACTGCAGCAGCACAACCACATCAACAAAATATAAAAAGTACCTGTCCATAGTTATCAATTTGCCTTGGATTGAATCCAGAGTAAATTAGAAGTCTTGTCAACTCACAATGCCCTGCAAGATTAAGATCAATCATATATTTAGTTTAAGAAACAATTTATAGAGCTAAACTCTAAACAAAGATGCTGGTATCGAAAGGTCCATTGATTAATCTCAGATAAGATAGTATAATACATTCTCCAAGTATCGAAATGCATACCATCATGTCGGGATTCAATATTTCAACATTAATTATATCATCATCAGAAATCATTGTCACTGATAATGACATAATCAATGTCGAAATATTGAATCCTGACACGATGGCAGGCATTTCGATACTTAGAGTATGTATTATACTATCTGGTATTGTAATGTTATTATTCTCTATTACCCGGGCAATGTCCATAGACACTTCACACCACAATACATCATACCAGTTCCCAATTCTCAAGGGTGCAGATTGACAAATGTATGTAGAGTGCCTTGGCCAAATACACAAGCGAAATACACTGTGAGAAGTTCAAGCCACAGCCCTCAAGGTTCACACCCTGAATCATAAATACTGTGCCAACCGCTCTCATACTATTCTAGAAAGTTTTCTTAAGTTACAAGCCAAAATTTTACCTTTGAATGCTGCCCAATGTAGGGCATTATCCCCCTCACGATCGGTCAGCTGTAGCCTCGCCCCCTTGGCCATTAGGTAACAGGCTAATGTTGTTTGTCCATATTGACATGAAATGATTAATGGCGAACAACCCTAAGGAAAAACAGCACAAGTTATTTGAATTGTATAGGTTGGAACTCAGTATGTTGAAAAATTTTTCTCATCATATAATGCAGTATCTAGAACAACTTAAGTTAAACCATTAGTTATATTCTACTGTACTACTAATTTTACTAATAAAATTGTAAAAAATAGAGGGAAAAAAAATTCACCCCCCCCCCCTTCTCCAAACCAATTCCACCCTACTTTTTGGAATCATTTCGCCAGAATCTCACCTTATTATCAATGGTGTCTATGTTGACACCTGCCTGTAGTAATATATCAGCAACTGCCACATGGCCATTAACACATGCCCAGTGAATGGGCCTAGGTCCTAGATCATTCTTGCTCTGCACATCTGCAAATAAGCAAGAATTTAACATTGTATACACAGAATTAACAAAATAGTTAAATTGCCGTCCAAAATCCCATCATTTATGTGCTGGAAAGGGCTTTTCATAACTTACTTAGGCTAGAACTTGGGCCTAGGCTAGCCTTCTAGAGCCTAGGAAAAACTGACTCCTGAATTAGGTGCATCAAATTAAGACTGTAACTGGATAAACAATGGCAAAGTGTAAAGAGACTTTTGTATTTAGCGTAACGTAATGGCTGTAAACATGTTTAACATAAAATATGGGATACTATAACTAAACTACAACATGGAGCAAACGTAGAGAAACCAGCAAGTCTGCAATATTGACCTGAAATTTTAGACTACTGTCGAGCAGTGGTTAGCAGGTACGTGAACACAGTTTAGATTTTAGTCATTAAGCATCATCATCATCATCATGATCACCATCATCATCATTGTCACCATCATCCTCATCATCATCCTCTTCATTTTCCTTCTCCTCATCTTCCTCGTCAATATTATCAAAACAATGTTTACCAAAGCAGTATTACTGCAGCGTCATGGAGCTGTACCGATGTACAAAAGTAACGATCAATGTGCTACGTACTATACATAAACATAAAATATTTACCAAGATTTGCCTTATGATCCACCATGAGTCTAATGATGTTGGTATGACCCCCTAGTGCAGCCCAATGGACCGGAGTGTGCCCCTTTTCATCTGTGCTACTTAGAACTTCTGGGCCTTCTTCTTCAATCATTTCCTGAACCCGTATAAGAAATCTGTAGAAAAAAGAAACTGACAATGTAAATCATTTTATACATCATCCAATCACTTATTAGTGGGACATGTTACCGGGACGCCTACAAAATATTTCCCGCTAGGCCCAGGACTACAATTACCAAGTGCATATAGCAGAAGTTATCTATTTTATGATTTCAGTATCCAAAACACCACCAATCAGGGGCCCCTTGACATCCTGAATAGAGGTTAGAATACCTATTAATCATAGGCAAGGCTTCTGTTGCACATAAATAAAAGTAGGCCTTGGCTATGGCCTAGAACTATGCCTAAAATAAACACAAGCCTAGCCTTGGCCTAGGCCAGTTGAGTTAGTATAGTAGTTAGTATCATTAGGCCTAGTAGTAGTAGGCCTAGCTAGCTAGGCTATCTATTAAAAAGAGTAATAATTTTATTAAAAATTTAATAATTGCAGCACCTCTGCTTCCCCATTTGGCTAGTGTTTGTACTGTACGTTGTTTCCAGAAATGCGTGGTCAACTTGGGGACGAGCCCGTCAGGTACGCTAGGCCTCTCCGTGCTCTCTTGCTCTCATTCACCTACATGAAAGGGCCAACACTCGCCTACTTATTGGGCATAAACTAACCTATCTAAGCCTAGAAATTCTTCCCATACTTACCCAGATTTCACAGCCGAAAAGATATCCATCCCCTTCCGAAACTTATTAGAACTGTTCCCCTTTTCATGATCTTTGCAATCATGTCCTAAACTAGCTTCTTTTTTACTCATTTCAAACAAATATTTCTAATGATTAAATAATCTTTTTTGTCAAGCAGTCGTTGTTGTGTGTTATACTGTCGATAATGGGAGTTTGCTTGCTGTAGCTATGGACGGAAACAATAACAGCCTAAACACAACATAATCGTTCTGAACCGCTAAATATATGCGTATTTTCTGTTTAACAGTAGTGGTAGAGGAAAACAACAACACTGTAAATTGTAAAAGAAAAGAGAAAAGATCTTGAAATAAAGCGTGTTTGTGTTATTATCAGGCTACAACTCAAAAGATCTTATAAATTCAGAGCCTCAAACCAATGGAACAATTTACCTGCTCGCAAATTAGAACAACTGCACCGAAAAAATATTAATGAATTCAAAAATTCCATCTACAGTATATTGATTCAAGTGTAATTTATGCTAAGACTTTTTTACCTTTTTACATTTTTGATATTTATTTAATTTATGTTTATTTTACTTTAACTTTTATTCAGTAGTGGCGCCATGATTTGTCCAAACCGAGGTCCCCGAAAATTTTGACAATATTAGGGGTTAGGCCTACAAATGCTTATTTAATCGATTTTAGAGTCTCAATATGTAGAAAATACATATAATTTTTTTCTCCCCTACGAATTGTGGTTTTTCTCCCCAGCGGGGGGGGGGAGCTCTACCAGACGGGGGAGGGGCTTCCCCCTCCCCCTCCCGGCTGGTGTCACCCCTGCTTTTATTACTTTTTAGGGGTCATTCAAGTATCATGAACACATTTTTTGTCAAATATTGACACCCCCCGAACCCCCTCTAAATGTTATGTAACTCTAGAACCACCCCTCCCCACCTTCCGAACATCAACAATTTTAATAAAATCAGATGAACAACATTAAGTAGGCCCTATCAGAATAAATGTCCTCCACTACAAATTTGTCTGTATACACTACAAATTTGTTATCAATGGTTTGCTTTAATAACAACTAGATGGCAGCACATCATAGCTCTTGGAAATTGTTATTTTTTGATATGGTAGATGTAACTTCATTGTTTAATGATTTCACAAATTCAACACAACTGTGTTACATTACATTGTATTACACTGATGTAATATGTTTCAATAAAGTAATATCATACAAGTTTGAATATTTAATATTTCTTCTCTTCCCATGAAAATTAATTTTGTAATGTAGCACTTCAAGCAACACTCCACCCCACCCCTATGTCACACACTGTAACTACACTATAACCCCACCCCCTCTGCGTTACATAATACTTGAATGACCCCTTACTTAACTGTAACTGGACCATTTTGAAAAGCAGTACTAGGCTACTGCAAAATGCAATCGAGTAAAAATTAAAAAAATAATGTGGTATTATTGCCAAGAATACACGCATGTCCCACATAAACGCAAGTTTACATACGTTCGTTTTGTAGAACCTTCGACAACATTCAGGGAGCGGCATGAATAGATGTTTATGTTTGAGACAGTTGGCAGTTGATATTGAGTTGTTAAGTTAGGCCTACATACCTGCGTCTTTCCTCTGCCTCTTCTTTTCTTTTTTCCTTCTTCTTCAATTCTTCTTCATGTTTCTGTTGCCTCAACAATTGGTTTCTTTTTGCTGCTTTCTCTTTCGAGAAAGTTGGCCACTTTAGATTTGATAACCAAGCTATAACCCAAAATGGTATAATGCGAAGGAAACAACTTCTCCTTGGCTTTTTAGCTTCCAATCGAGCTTTGACGCTTGCGACATTCTCGTCAAATGTTTTAGGAACTGGAGTAGAATATGTCAGGATTCTTTCCCAATTGACAGGCCTCTTCTTTGGGGGTGTATTGGGTCTATTAGGGGTTATACAGGTAGATGAGACTTGGTCCCATTCGGTTGTAGCTCCGCGATTCTGTCCCTCTGACGATGTCTTCCCCTCAAGACCGGCCACATGATTTTTTAATCTATTGCGTAGAATACTATTTTGGTTATCACCCATAATATCTCTATGTTAATTTTCACATTAGTTGTATGTCATACAGTTTTTTTAGTTAGTACTGCATTCTTGTGGAGGCTATGAATCCATTTCAAAATGCTTGAGTGAGCATTATCAATAGAGTATTGATCTGTTTGTTTCTAGGATACCACTGAAAGTGAGGACCTGGTGTTTATAAAAGGAGGTTATCGCTTTTGAAATCGATGTACAATTAAAACAAACGCGTCAATTGTTATGGAGTGAGACGATTCAAATAATGAACTAAAAAAGTAATCGGAATACAGATGGTATTGTCTATGTATTGTACTGTATTCATTTGACATTTTAAAGACGGCAGATGTGTTAATGGATGGTCTATTTCCTATACAGTATTATATTTTGGTATTTGTGCTGCACATCGTGTCATCGGGTGCTATCACAAAGAAGATGGTTTCCCATTCCGAAAATAAGGACCATTGCAAATCAGTGACTATAGAATCGCGATAGCCCTCAACCAAATCAGCATTTGGAACAAGACCACAGACTCATACGAATGGGCACAGACGTGTCCAAAATACTGTATTGGTCTTTCATAAAATGTTACTGTATGTCATACGTGGAGCCATGGACATATTAATAAGATTATAGGTCCATGGTGGAACCAACTAGATCGTACTTTATTGGATTTATCATTACCCATCATCATTAGCGTCGTCATCGTTACCAATAAAACCGCTACTACTGTCCTGATTTTTACGTAGGCCTATCATTAACAATTTTATCGCCACCATCAATGTATAATGTTGTACGTATTATTAAACGAGTGGTCTGTGGTCGTGATAGCGTTACGTCATTGAATTGTAATCGTTGGCCTCAATAAAGAAACACTCTACAAGAGTTAAGTAAATTGTGGTAGTTTATTGTAATTATGCATATTTGTCTAATCAAAGCACTATCGTATTCAATTCAGACTTATAACCTCGATTCTGGATTCAGCAAATAAACATATCAAAAAATATCAAAATTTAAGCCAGTGTGAACTGTTTGAGTTTCTTGTTGGCAAAACCCAGCGTAGCAAACGCCCTTTCACGCGCACGCACACATACGTCAAAGATCTTATAATAATATTTTATTATTGATCTTTGACATTCGTCAAGGGCGAATGCTACGGTTTTATTCAACTGAATACAAGTCACATACGAACTAAAAGTAAGGAGGTAAAAGCAAAACAATGTAATGTAATTAGAAAAATTAAATTCCAAGGTCACAACACTTACCCCCACCCCTAAGATACATTGGGGGAATCAATGCACAATAAAACTACGCATCATGCATTTAAAGGAAAAAACAGCAAGTACACATATCATGAACCAGCATGACAAAGATATGCAAATAAAAAAAAGAAAAGAAATACAAATAGAAAAAAAAATCAAATTTACTCTACCAGTCTCAATATGTATATATAATATTTTTACCTCTTCTTTCCCCTTCAAATTAAATAGATTTGATGATTAGTGGTAGAGGAAAAATTATATATTATGATACATGAAAACCATTCAGAAATGAAAAACTTATATAAACTTTTGTAATTACTGTGGAATAAAAATAATCACACATACATGTCTTTACTGCACACAGATACCTATTAAAACGGTAACTATTCTCACTTAAATTATTTTTATCAAAATATAATAATTATTGTTATTTAATGATTAACAAAATATAATTAAAAAATTATTTAATAAAATAACACCACCAATGACACTGAAGCTATCATCTAATGCATCTGCAATGTGTTTGAGTAGTTACATGGGTAATGTCACGTGAGTGAAAATTTACTCTTGTTTCAGTTTTTTTTTTTACGGTAAGAAATATGCCAAATACAGCACTTCACATACAGTAATCTGTTCGTATTTCACGATACACGAATTGAAGACTGAATCAGATTACGCGACCGCGAACCCTTTTCGTAGTTGACGATACATGAATTGAGGACTGAAATCAATTTACACGGCTGCAGAACATTTCGTATTTTGACGATACACGAATTGAGGACTGAATGAAATTGTACGATATCAGACAATCTTGCTTAGGTTTTAAATCGTGCCTGTTTCAATAACTGAGTGGTATTATAATAATAAAAATTTGATCAACAATTCTCGTAAAATACAGATACGCTATGACATTACGAATGAAGATAAACTAAAATAATTATATAATTATATAACCATATGTGTAAATATCATGTTTTTTGAACGATATTTTTATCTGAATAACACAAGACAAAATTCTGCATGTGAAAGATTAGCATGCGCGGAAGCCGGTCACACCGATATCTATACATTTGCATTTTCTTAGGCCTACTCAAGATAATCATATAACGTGATCGTATGTACTGCAGGCACGTAGTTTTCTTTGGTTACACGTAGAATCACAGCCAATCAGAATGGATATCCCAGGATGTTTATATTTTTTAAGGCAACAAAGGATGATAGAGTACGAGCCTTCAAAAGTTGATGCCATACACATCAGGAAAACGCATGTGACTACTCAATATTACCACTTGATATGCAGATGCTGCCTAAATACGGCCATTATGACATCACATCATGACCATATATAGACACATTGTGACTATAAATGAGCTTATGATAGCATGCACAGAGCTTAAAGGCCATCATTCTTGAATCACGTTCCACAATACTAGAATAGTAGTAAAAAAATACAGTACAAGAATTCAACGATAGCAAAAAAAAAGGAATGGAATCATAGTACCCTTGTTTAAATTTAAATTAAAAATACCGTATTTATTCGAATTAATTCCACTCGAATATACTCGTCCCTAGAGCCTCAACCTGGAATAAACGCTTCCCTAAAATAAACACCCGAGGCGTTTATTTTTGCCTCGAATAAACTTCCCCCACTAAATGATGGTAAACAAAAATAATTGAAGCAACATCATTCTCAACACATTCTATTATTATCTACCCCAGTACAATTATATTTTTTTATTTCTTTATGATCAAGAAATAGAAAAATAAATTTGACGATAATGTGTGTTGAAGTTCCACATTTATAGTGAAATTATGGGGGGATTATTTACGTATCCATTTTGCAGACACAAAAAAAATAAATAAATAAATAAATGGCTCCTTCTAAGAAACGCCCCCCAAAAAACCTTCTCGACTATAAATGCTCCAGGGTGTTTATTTAAATAAATACAGTAATTGTTTTTAAATATTGAACAATGTTAAAACATTAAGTAAACTTTAGAGATGGTAAATAATGGAATGCATTGTGTTATTAAATCAATCATTCTTCATCTTTTATTAAAAGTGGCTAAGCCTATGCTTAATCTTTATTACCTAGAAGTAATATAATAACTGCGATTCGTCTAATATAAATGTATTAAAATTAGCCCCATTAATTATCACCTCAAGAATGCAGGATCAAGTGAGCAGTGGTTGTATCAAGGGGGAAGGTGTATGGGGGTGGGGATGTACTAGTATTGGAGAAGGGATGAAAGTCCTAGCAATAACTTTGCACCCCTCCACTAAAAGTCTGCTGATCAAAAAGATACAAGTTGTTTTAAAAAATTACGTTATATACTGTAACGGTATTTATCAGACATTTTACCCTCACTTTTACATCAACCCCTCCACCACATGTTGACACGCCTACATGCCTTTGTAAGTGAGTTCAACAAATCACTGATGAAATAAGAATTGATATTATTAGGATGACGTCAGGATATGCATTATAGAATTGCATTACAACTCGTTTTAAACATAGCCACATTTTTCTAAATACCCTTAACAGTTGCTTTAACCTAATTTCTACTGTTTTTTACTTTAATAAAATCTACAGTTTTTACAATTTTTGAATACTATTTTCTCTCAGTATTGGTGTGTACCAGTGAAAACAGCCTACTAACACTTCGCTCAAATATAATAGGATTTGTCCTATATATAGGAATTGTCTTTCTTTGACACTTACATGACTTAATCTATAGCATCTTATAGGATATCTGATGGAAATACTAATCTCTACTACATTAGCCGGATTGCTCATTGGCTGGTTTTAGTGAAGCCATGTTGGGGAGCCTACAACATTACATAAATCATCCCAGTGCAAAACTTTGGAACTGGTGTGATGGTCACCAACAATGCGACATCGCATCACATGGTTACAGTGAGTGGTTACAGGATGTGAAAATTTATTATTAAGCCGTATTGCAAGAATTGTTATTCTACACAGCAATAGCTTGACCAGATGCAAACTAAAACTTGTCTAAACTGTTATATCACTTGGGCTCTTGAATATGGTAAACGTGGTTTCAGTTTTTTTTGTACAGTAAATGGCCAATGAGCAATCCAGCTATTATAACAGTCTAATAATCCACAAAAACAACAGTTCTTTTACGAACTACCTACGTGGTGCACAGAAAGTATTTTTTAGGGAGCATTAGATTTGCGCGATGACGTGACCCTAGAACGGAATCACTCATGCGTGACCTTCCTACCTGGCATCTTAGATTCTCTGCATACATAGATTGGGCCAAATTGGGTCCTAGAATCCATGCAACAAGAACTTAACGTCCTTGCATGCTCATGTGACTTTTAGTGATGTCATAACACTCTACATCTTCGCTCCATACTATAATTTTACTTTGCCATGCAAACCTTTAAAGAGTGGAATGACTATGAAAGAGACTTAGTTTATTACTACATTGAGTTCGGCAGTGAAAAATAGCAAGTATGTAAAAAATACTCAAACAATTATTACCACCTTTATGGAAACCTAGATAGCAAATAATTTAAAAAAAGTTATTAGTTATATGAAGACAATTTGTCCATTTCTCATCCCAACTCTCAAACCTGGCTGAGCAGGCAATATTTTCGAAAAATAAAGAAAATAAAAATCTTCTCTTCTCTTCTTGATGTTTTTTTTTTAACTTTTGACATTTCATTGAATTTTCTTTTTTTATAATCTTTTGAGCGATGTTTGTCTCTTTAACTTCAATTTATATTTATTATGAATTGCAATAAAAGTTGTTCGTATTTCGTATTTCATATATTTATCCATGAGGTAAGTGAAATTGTGAACACTCAAATTTGCAAACAGAATGTGGATGTGTCTTTCAATTAATAATTAAAAGAATTAAAAAAAAAATCTATAGTAAAAATAATAATATAAATAATGACAATTTCATGATAATAGTTAAATGTAATTTCTTTCAATTAACTGAAACCTAATCTGAAAAAATCAAGTCGTTAAACAATCAGCACAGTAGCCTCTTGTTTGTACACAAGGTTGATAAGTCAAACCAGCATAATATAAATATGTTTTGAGTGTTCTTTTAAGTTGGTCGTTATGCTAAATGTTTTGTGTAAAGCCTCTGCCCAAACTATCAAATTTTACTTGACAACATGTGAAATACCTAAATATGGTCATGATGACATCACATCATGACCATATATAGGCAAATCATTACCATATATAGGCACATCATGACCATATATAGGCAAATCATGACCATATATAGGCACATCATGACCATATATAGGCAAATCATGACTATAAATGGGCATACAACAGTCTTTTGACAAATAGTGTTGAAGCAATAAATAAAATGTCACATGCCTAATTATGGTCATCACATCCCATCATTACCTCATTGAGGCACAATATGACTATATATGAGCATACAATACAGTTTTTTTTTTTAAGATTACTTCCTGCAAGACTTACTTTTTAATGTTCAACACAATTTTGAAGTCATGTGAAATTTGAATGCACAAATTATAACAAAAAAACAAAGCTTGTATCAAAAAGAATGTGTTTTATTTAAATTAAATAAACCCTATTAAAAAAAAATAATAATAATCAGCTCTCCATTCCTAAAGTCATAAAAAGATATGTGCTAGATAATTATGCTTTAAACACATCCTCAAAAAAAAAAAAAAAACACCCCACAATTTTGTCTTACAGAAAAGCTAAAAAACAGGATAAAAATCAATATAGGGCCTTCCTATTGGATAAATTTAAACAACTTGGAATTGATATATTTATGGAATATTTAGCGAATTAAAAGTTATAAAACAAAACAAAAAACTCAAGGTGTTTCAAAACAATTTTTCAATAAATTTAAAATTTCAAAACACTTGGCTTCTAGATTACGTTAAAATGCATATGAAAATTAGTATTGTAGTATCCCATGCATTGTACATGAGAAAATACAGCAATTAAAATGGACAGATACATTTCCTAATTATTAGAAAATATTACACAATCAAATTGGTTCTCTGTAAGAAAAAAAAAAAGATAGAAGGAATAGACACTAATCACTCATCAAAATTAATTGATACATTTCTAATATTACAAATATGAAGAGTGAGGCCACATATTTTAAGTTGCATTTGTTGTGTGTTATGAAAGGCATCCACTAGGCAGACAGTCATCTGGCTGACGCTATTCTATATTGAACCTAACGCCACAACGCGTACGCAATGGATCGTTTTTTAACGATCCAATCTGACTGCCACTGACAATCAGCAGGCGTCATCGCGTGGTCTAGTGCTCGCAGGCAGCGGATTTGGATTTGTCATATAATTGTCGTACGATGCTTTAACATGAAGAATAGGTGGTTTTAGCAGGTTTTTAATTTTTCTACTTTATGTAAAACTGGAATTCTAATTTTTCGTTTCTTTTTTACTTCACCCTCTGTTTCAGATCCGTCAATCGACATTGTGTCTTCTTCGTTTAAAATTCCCCTGCTTGCTTTCTTGTAAGCATCTGAAACATAATCAAATAATAATTTCATATATATATATATACATATATATATACACATATATATACATATATATACATATATATATATATACATATGTGTGTGTGTATGCATGTATGTATATATGTACCATTTAGTGGTAATGCTAAAATTATATCAAAATTAATTTTAAACATTAAATAAGAGGAATATGCACGGGTAAAAAAATAGATGCCCCAACCAGGATTCGAACCCCTGGATCTTCTGTCTATGCAGACTCCTTAGCCAACTGAGTCATTGAGCCATATTTGATTCAAGCATCTAATTCTTCACACTCATGCACAACAACACTAGTCCTCATCTTATCAGCATTTGATGACAAGATGAAGGAACATTTGTTGATGAACTATGTTTGATCCAATGTATAACATCATGATCTTTTATATTTGAGCACTGTATTATTATTATCTATTTTAATAATTCATACATTATTTTGTGTTCTCAGTGGTAAGAAAATTGGTAAAAAAATTTGAAGGAACTTTCAAAACATGTTTGAACATTGCTTAAGTATTTTTTAAAACTCTTCTAAGATCTGATTTACCTTTTCTACCTTTTTTCCCTGATGTTCCATTACTATTGCTTAATTCCCTTAAAGAGCCATCAGAATGCGATATCGGCAGCGACTTGGGTCGTGAGTTGGATGTATTAGAGTTAAGAACCGATGTTGTTGTAGATCTTTGCTGGCCTAAGTTCATTGATATTGATGAAGGTAAGGAAACACTTCCTCCTGTCTGATCACTAAAAATAAGCAAGTTCTGAAACTTATCCACTATTTAAAATTATTTTATGAAAGTGATTCCTTGATCATGTCACTAATGGTCAAATGATTATGACCACATGATCATAAGACTATGATCACATGATCATGTAACTGTGATCACATGAGTGACTCAAATTATATGATCATGTGACTATGATTAAATACCACATGGTCATAAGACTATGATCACATGATCATGTGAGTTGAAATGGAAATATTAGAATCTTTATTATCCACCTCATACAATATACAAAGTAGATAACAACATCACAAAGATATGAGTGGGGGAGGCTAAATAAGTTAGTAGTGCAATGCACAACTACCTATATAGCTATAGCCCACCCAGATACAGAAATCAAATTAAGAACAGGGTAATAATTAAAATTACACATGAATTATATAAAAAATAATAACAATCAGAACAATAACCATAATATCAATAAAAGTATAATATCAATAACAATAATAATAATAATAATAATAACAATCACATGATCATGTGAGTGACTGGAATTCTATGATCATCTGACTATGAATAAATGACTGACACATGATCATAAAACTATGATCACATGATCATGGGAGTGACTGGAATTCTATGATCATCTGACTATGAATAAATGACTGACACATGATCATAAAACTATGATCACATGATCATGCGAGTGACTCTGATCACATGGCCATGTGAGTAGTAACTGAGATTTCATGATCAAGTAACTATGCTCATATGATAATAGATAGATAGATAGATAGATAGATAGATAGATAGATAGATAGATAGATAGATAGATGGTTCATTTAATAAAATTCATATAATAATATATCTTTGCAGCAAAGATGAATTGTGATGGTATTTACAATAGTTAAGATATGAAAATAATCACATATGAATATAATCACATAATCATGTGACTTTGAGCACATGGTCATAAAACATGATCACACAATCATACAAGGTAAAAATGTATCTTATTACCTTTCGTCCCCTAATGTGAATGTGACATCCTCGCTTGGTGAGGCTAACACTGGCTTACGAGACACGTTTGGTAAGCTCCCACTCAGGGTATTGTCTAACTTGAGCAGTTGGGAACTGCTGCTGCTTGGCGTCATTGTACCACCTGCTTAATACACAAGGAATAGAAAGGCATTAAGATGTTTACCGCCGATTTCAACATTTTGTTGGAACTGATATTTACTGCCATTGGTATTTATACCATTTTCATGTTTACAAGTTGAAAAAGGAATAACATTGGCTCAAAATGTCATTTTTTCATATTATCGTAGTGGGAGCTAATCCAGATGTCCGAAAGGGGGGGGGGGGCCCTGATCAAAAGACAACACTACCCTAGGGGCCCAGCATGCCCAAGCGAATTTTTGTTTTATAGACGCCCAAAAGTATTCTCATTTGGGTTATCAATAATTTCCTTTTCTTTGCTTCTTTTCTTTTTTTTTTTCGCTTTCAAAAAGGGTGAGGTGGGTGTAGGACAGGAGGTGGCCCTGACGGTCAACAACTATATGCCAAATGTTCAACCAACATGCCTGTCGTATACATGTTTGCTATTTATAATCTCAGCATCAAAGTTGTACATTCTCAAGTACATCGCACACCAAAGGTATAGGATTGCCTTTAAGCTATTTACACATAGCTACCAAAAAATGACATACCTGTAACTGAGAGGTAATTTGGTGGAACATCTTCATCTCCTTCCTCAATTCCCATAGATAATGTAGACTCAGCTACCTTTACTGAATCTAAAGACAATGGTAGAATCTCTCATTAACATTAGTAATGTTTACACAATGTTATCACGAGACAGAGATTTAACATTTTAACGAATGCTTCCTAGATTCCTAACCAGGAGCATGTGGCATATGATTTTTAGGTACAAATACTCCCCAGTAATTGATTATGTATCAAGGGACATCATGGGGGAAAGTGCTTTGAGATTTTTCTCTGATATAGTATACTGTATATGTTATATAAATCCTATAATAAAAAAGAAACAAACCTTCTAAGCCAAATAACATTAAACGCAAGGCATTATATCCATTATTGTTTGTAATACTAAAGTTGCATAACTGCTCAATTTGTGACCACCGATGAAGACGCTCCTTCAGGTCAGAGGTTACTTCATGCAAAGATGATCTGTAGAAATGAATGATTGAGTATGGTGGATAAATATTTATTCATAATTATCAATATTTAATAAACACATACATACGATTTAAAAATTATCAAACTCTATGTACTTCAACAATTTTTTAAACATTTCAGCCTATAAGATGAAACGTGCCTTTGCACTTTAACAATTTTTTCATATTTTAGCCAATAAGATGACATGTACAGTACCTTGCACTTCAACTATTTTAAAATACTTTAGCCAATAAGATGATACGTACCTTGCACTTCAACTACTTTAAAATATTTTAGCCAATAAGATGATACGTACCTTGCACTTCAACTACTTTAAAATATTTTAGCCAATAAGATGATACGTACCTTGCACTTCAACTATTTTAAAATATTTTAGCCAATAAGATGATACGTACCTTGCACTTCAACTATTTAAAAATATTTTAGCCAATAAGATGATACGTACCTTGCACTTCAACTATTTTAAAATACTTTAGCCAATAAGATGATACGTACCTTGCACTTTAACAATTTTTTAAATATTTCTGCCAATAAGATAATACATACCTTGCACTAACTATTCTTTGATCAATATCATCAAGTGTACCACTATGTGCTATCCTAAATGATCCCAAAAACGTACTTCTTTTTTTTCGTATTTTTTCACACTGCAAAATACAAATTTAAGAAAATCACTAAAAATGTATATTCACTTATTCAACAGAGTTTAATTGAATTTCTGGGACTATGATCACATGATCATGCGAGTAACTATGATTCCATGATCATATCGTTAGAATCATGTGACTCTGATCATGTGATTATGAATATAACCACACAATCATGTGACTTTGATCGCATGGTCATCAAACAATCATCAAACGATCATACAAGATACAAATACATCTTATTACCTTTCCATCCTTCTTGGCATATTAAACAATTTTTAATGAATTTTTTAGGTTCCCCTCCGCAAGATTTTAAAACAAATGGTAAACCTTTAATAACTTTTTAATGGTGCATTAAAATTTCAAGATTTCAAGATTTATTTATTTCAACAAATCAATGCAGTAAAACTGAACTGCGAGTATGTTAGTACATTAAAATTGTTTAAAATTACATAGAAAGCAATTACAAGATCAATTAAACTAAAAATATAATTAAAGAAAATTAACTAATTCAAGCATCCTTCCATTTTTGTTAATATATGAAGGCCTTGGAGATCCCATTAAGCTCTGGAAAATAATGCAATTAATGTAATTATATTTTGGATAAAGACTCTCTCTCTGCTTTAACCACTTACAACGTTCATGCTCACAGCAGCTCGGTAATGACAACATTAAGATAATGTATTACAATGTTACTGCATTAGTCAGAATCCTTAAGTGTGTACCAACTTCTATAATTTGTATAGCATTGGCTTTATGTTGGAAATTATTTTATATAAGACTATTTCATCACTAAATGTCAAATGCTTCTTTAGCAGAAAGCAAATGCCATACACATTGCAGAGCTTCAACAACGTTTGTTCTTGAGATGCAGTTGGTTAAAATGAGCCTTGTGACATGTTTGTCTTCATAAGCTAAGAATTGAATGCATGGTTAGATTAACAATCCCTGAATTTTAGTGTCAATTAAATTACAGGCCTGCTGAATGGAGATTAATTAGAAAGCGAAGGACTCATCACCTTCTCAGCCTCCACAGGGATTAAAGGGGCATTTGCATCTTCACAATTCCTAGCTTTAAATGTACAGTACTGTCTGTGATAAAATTGAGATGGGAAAATATAAATTATCAATAAAAGCTGAAAAAAAACTAAACTAAAAAAACAAAAGTACAGTCCACACTATCAAATTTTCTTTGATAAAAAACTGTTGTATGCCCATATATAGTCATGATGTGCCTAATATATGGTCATGATGTGCCTATACCGTAAAACCTCGAATTGAAGCCCTAAGCTTCTTCTTTTCTTTGCGACCTTTAGATGGGCTTCTATTCGAGGCTACCTTTGCAAAGTAAAGATGTGGGGCTTTTTTTCAAAATGAGTACTGTAAATTTTCTGAATTTGTACTATAAAACAATAAATACGGCCACTGTAACATCAATCTGTATCATGGAGTGTATTTAACTGACATTAAATCACCTAAACTACTGTATAAACCAAGATTGTTTTTAATTTATTTTATTTTTTGAAATTCATGTACAGTGTATATACTGTACTATCTCGAAAAGAAGCCGATGCTATCTTGAAATTAAGACCAGGGGCTTCTTTTCAAGATGGGCTTCTTTTCCCAATCCCAAAACCAGTGTACTGTCACTAATTGTTGAACTGAGTAATTATTAACATAAAGTGGCAGTATTGTATACTTTAGTTCAAAGAAGCCATCATACTTTTACTCATAACATTGTCATTAGTAAGTCAATTTCAGTAAATGACCCATCAATGGAAAGCTTATAATGTGGAGAATAAAATTGATTGATTGATTGATTAAATTTATTCGATGCTCAACATGCACAAACAATATAAAAAAGATTTGAGAACGAGAAAAGTAAAAATTAATAAGCATCAGGAGCGCCAATTAAAAAGTCAATTTTTACTTTTTGGTTGCTAATGCTGGTTTTGGGATGGCAAGCCTCATATATGGTCATGATGTGATGTTATTATGACCATATTTGGGCATGTCACATGTTTTTGTGAAATAAAATGTGAGTGTCTAGACAGCGCTTAAAATCTTCAAAGTAACACCTCTCTTATAAAGTGGATTCGAATAGCTTGGTGGTTAAGATGCTTGCCTTCAAATCCCAGTGTCCTTGGTTCAATTCCTGTGTATGTTTGTCTTGTAAAAGGGATTGTCACCTTCAAGTATATCAGTGATATATTCACTATTGACAATCCTTGGTGCTTGTTTTGCATGCCTAAATACAGTATATAAAATATATGCAAATATATTGTCATGATGTGCCTATATATGGTCATGATGTGATGTCATCCAAGTCAGAAAGAAAAAAAAAAGGGTACACATACCACTTCCTTTGCTGTCATCAACTGCCTTTCAGCTGCAGTTCTCTTAGTGTTGTAGTATCGTACTTCAACCTCATATGTTAATTGAAGCCATTGTTGTAATGCTGCCGACGGCTTGAAAAAACCTTGGCTCATCTTAAAATAACAATAATAATTTGTGCATAAGTAATGTTACACTAATGTTGAGTTAAGTTAAATGTATGCCAATCATTACTGTACAATAAATACAACTCATACTTTATCAATAATTTATCTACATATATCCAAGGTCATGCTGCTACTGATGATGGTGATAATGATCAGGGGCCCAGCAAGAGTAGAATTTGAAGGGTCAATCCGTGCAAGCAATTAGGCTAGGGACCAAGGGGCTGACAAGGGCCCCCGGTTGAGGGAAATTTTCTATAGATATCTTTATATAGATAGTTCTAATATAGAATTTTACATTCTAGATTTACATATACAACATGGCATGTGCACAGGGTCGAGGTGGCAAGGGTCTTTCAGTTACTCTGTAAATCATAAAAGGAGGGTGGCTATTTCATGTATTATATTTTTTCACATTACCTATCATTTACCATACATAATCAGAATATTTTAAAAAATTATTGTTTTGGCCACGCCTGACCGACCCACATTTTACAAAATTCAGGGTCAGCATTTTAGATTTGTTTTATGTATTTTTTTTTTTTTGGACTACAAGGAACAATATTCTTTTTTAATGAGTAATAAGGATGAAATAGCCTTGGACTAGGCTAGGGGGGCCCAAGGCATAGCCTATTTTGGATGCATGGTAAGTGATGCGGATCCAAAATTGTTGTATTACTTGTGTATTTTCTACTTTTTAAGCGTAAACAAATTTATGGTTTAAAAAAAGAAGAAAAAGAAAGTTTTCTTACCGACCTACCCATTTTTGGGATTTTCCCAAAACATGGCCAACACAAAAATGTATTTTTTTCGGCCTGATTATGGCAAATGTAACTGCCAGTAGCGGTAAAAACCTTTGGATTATTGATTTGTCATTTTTAAAAATTTTGACTAATTTGAGTGGGGGGGGGGGGAGAGAAACAGGACCCACTCAAATCCCCCTTTGGCTGCGCCCCTGATGATGATGATGATAATTACGATAATGAAGCACGTGGCACAGCATATAAGGCATTGGGTTTTCAATCAGAAGGTGGGGGTACGTCGCCAAGATCAATGCTCTTCACACTGCTTGTGGCCTTGGGCAGGACACTTAAGTGCATTCGCCTCCCATCACCGAGGAGTATAAATGGGTACCTGGTAGGAGGTGAATAATTTGGAATGAAATAAGTAGTGCTGATTACACGCATAACTAGGAATACTCCTCAGGGGGCAGAATAGGAAGCACATTGTGCGTGATTGATTATGTATCCAATGACCAAGGAAAAAAGAGCCTTCAGCAGTTTTCTGGATATGTGCACTATATAAATCCTATAAAATTTGGCTGACTTTTGCAAACTCGGGAAAATTCGTAACTGAGTTGTTGGTGTTTTCAGATGCTACATGGATTCTTCTTTAAGTGTGTGGCACAGTCTATAAGGCATTGGACTTTCAATCGGAAGATCGGGAGTTCGAGATTGATGCTTGTCGCACTGATTGTATAATGTGTTACTTCTTAATGTATTGTTTTTTTTTATATGTATTTTGTATATAAATTTGATTTCTCTTGAATACATTAATATATTTAAATTTTTCACTGGTTATAATAATTATATATTATAATATTCAGTGCTATGATTTTAAAAAAATGCCAGTTTTCAAATGCATTTCCTTCTTTTATGTTGGACAATAAATTATTTCAGTATTCAATATTCAGTATTCATTGTTTATGTCATGGAAATTGGTTTAAGAGAATTAGTGAGGTTATGAATATCTAATTAATTGGATGTTAGCTTCTTTTTGAGAAAACAGCTTCAAAAAATTCAAAAATCAATACTTTATTATAAGATTTGTATTAAAAAAATAATTTTAATATACTTTAGTGATTGATATTTTGCAGAAATGTTCTTCAATATATCTTCTTCTAAAAAATACAAAAACATGAAAAAAAATTCTGATTCTCAAAACTTTTTGGTGGTTGTGATTTTTGGAAATAAATAAATAAATAAATAAATAAATTAAATAAATAAACCAACAAACTATGATAATAATGCTGATGATTGCAAATTGATAATGGTATCTTCTTCTGCTATTAAATAATTCCACTGATATGAATCTGACCTACCTCTTCAAAGTCAGCTCTAGCCTTCAGCAATTTTTCCTGTAATTCTGATGAAGAATCCCCATCGGTAAATTCTTTTTCTTTTACTTCCTTGGCCTTCGCGTTTAATTCAGCTTCAATTTTACTTTTCTCCTGCAGAGTCATCTGATGCTCTTTCTTTTCACGCTCCAGCCTGAAATCAACAAAACAGATGGTGTACAGTCTCAATGGTTATATTATAAAATAAATATAATATAAAATAATAATAATAATAATATTCATTTATATTGCGCAATTTCAGATTTCTGTTTAATGCGCTTTAAGATGATAGAATACAATATTAAGATAGGCAACATTATACAATGAAATTACAATAATATCATATAGAAAGACTACAAAAATATACTTATTTTTATTAATTACATCATTAAAATAATTTAAATCTTGATTGCCTCTCTTTTCATTGGTCTGCCTTCCATTGTATTAAGGTTTTTGGTCCCAGATTTTAAAAATTGAATTGTGATTTGCTATGTAATTTTTAAATTATTTTTATATAACTCTGTGTCTCAAAGATTTATATTTATATACAATATATATTCTGTGTGCTTTGTTACTATATGGGCTCCAAGGATCAGCTTTGCTGGATGAGCTACCCTATATTATACTGCCCTCATCAGAGCTTTTGAGGTTACAAGAACTTGGTTAAGCAAACACGTTTTGTATACCTTTCCTGGTACTCTCTCAAGGAATCCTCTGCCTTTTGAAGACTTTCAAGTTCTTTCATCATTTGCTGAGCATGGTATTGAGAGTAGCGATGCTGTACATATGCAAACCAACACCCACCAACAGCAAGAACCACTGAGATTACTAGTGTCCAGTCTTTTATGTAACTATTATGCTCTGTGGAAATAAAAATCAAAATAAAAAATGATCGATTGATTTATAACTAGAATAGTCACTCCATAGAGTGCATACATTCGTCTTGCACCCGAATACTAACAATATGCAGGCCATGATAATGGGCGAAACTGCAGCATACCCTCAATGAAATAATGGAATCACCCGTCGTATTCAGCCACAATATTTTCTTAAGTGCTGCAGCCTACCCTCAGGAAAATAATGGAATTACTCGCTGTATTAAGGCATATTGTTGAGTGCTGCCTATGTAGGGCACTTCCATTATTTTCTTTTACTGCATGCTCAAGGGTAAACAATTGGATTTCCATGACCACTTCTGAAAATTGAAAGGTGTCTTTATTTGATTATTGTACCATACAACTAAATTTTATGATCATCCATTTATTATTTTTTACATAATCTTGCTAACAGACATATAGCAATGAATGCATAACTACCTTGGCAGAGGTAATTTATGATTTTTTTAAATATATAATTTTGTATATACTATATGTTTACAGTTTTAATTAGGCAACTTTTAATATAGTGTATATGTGTGCAATAGTAAAATCTATTTTTAAGTAAATATTAGGTGGAGGTTCACATCATGGATGATTAGTGGCTTTATGCAGCTGTTGAATCTTCCTAGGAACTACTATTATTATTATTATTATTGTTATTATTATTAAAACTTTATTTTTACACGGAAGGCTTGTGTTATTCTACAAGGCTGTGTTGTCATTGAGATTGGAAAATAACAGTATAGAAAGTAATAACAAATACAATATCACAATAAAGACAAAATTATATACAATACGAGTAATAAAAAATGAAGTATACATGGTTATTGCTTCATTTTTATATAATTTGTTTTCTAAATTTTCCCAATTTAAGGTCTGCAAGGCTTGTGTACTTGAATCATCTTTTCTTTTTTTCAGAATTATTTTTGCTACTCTTTTTTGTAAGACTTTGTTTTTATGAATTTGAGTAGATCTACCCAATACTATGTAAATGTATGCATTATACTGTTTTGTAATTGTTTTTCTTTCATCCAATTTTCTTCATCACTTTCATTTTTAGAAAATATATACTTAATGGTGAGTAGGTTGGCAGTTACAGTATGTATGCTTCTTTTGTAAAGGAGAATCTCAACTAATAACATTTTATTGTGTACTCCATTAGGGGTCACAAAAGAGTATGGTTTGTACACGTTTGAAAATAAAGAAGAAAAACATAGATGACCCAACTGACAAAATTCTCTAGTGATTTGCATAAGCTTTCATTTTCAGTTCTTTTTTTTCAGCTGTATTCTAAGTCTAAAGTGTACAACAGAATGATCCATTAATCCAACAGCATATTAGATTACAAATCTTGAGCACACATTAGATGAAATCTTCTCAAGTAACATTTGATCGATCATCTAAGCACAACACATTAAGTTTTATTCAAGTACATTAACCATTCAAATTATAGACACCATTATGATTACGGGTGTGAAAACAGTTGCCGTGGAAATTACTAATATAACTTCCTTCATGTTATGATTATATTAAGAATGGAAACTAAATACACTGAGATATACATAAAGTTATGTTTAGATTATAAAATTTTCTTGACAAATTTGTTGTATGCTCATACATCATGATGTGTCTATAATAATATGATTGTGATATTTTAAAGCATGTCATACGTGTTTGTCAAATAAAATTTAATTGGCTGGAAATAAGACAAATGCATACATACCAAGTCTAAAGCATTCTGCATTAGGCTCAACGCATGCAAAGGCTGCCTCACGTTCTCAGGCTTAAGGACCAAAATCCAACGCATAAAGGGGGGGGGGAGGGGGGGGGGGGGGGGGGGGGGGTGGAATTATCGAAAGTCTCACGCCTGTAAATTTGTCTAACTTGGAATGTATGCTTAATGTAATAAGGTAGGATTAACACAAACAGTTGCATACCGTATTGGTTTTTTCAGGCTTACTTTCCCCCAATGGAGATTTATCTGATCTTTTGCCCTGAATGGTAGATGATACGAAATATGATGGACAAAACAACAGGATACCTTCAATGAAATAATGGAATCGCCCGTCGTATTCAGGCACATTATGTTCTTGAGTGCTGCAGGCTACCCTCAGGATATTATGGAATCGCCTGCCGTATTTAGGACCATTGTTTTACTGAGTGCTGCCTGAATATGTGGGGATTCATTCCATTATTTTCTTTTGTACTCAAGGGTAAGAAAAAAATTGGCTTTTGCTCAAGCACTATTATTGATACAAATGTCAAATATATGCTACGCCATACAGCATGATCACAGTAAGGCCAAGTAAAAAAAGAAGTAGTTTCTCGTCCTAATATTTTGAAAAAAAGGAAATAAGGACACTTTTTTTTTACTCCGAGATGGCAAATCTCAAATGGTTGAAACAACTACTACTTTCTCGCTTTTACCAAGTAGACCCATTGAAAGAAACACTAGACATGATTTAAACTATGTATCCCCAACCACAAACGATCAAGAGAAGGATTTTACTGATGTGAGTTAGCCAGACTTTTGTACATTTTATAAATTAAAGGCAATAAAAAAAAAAATGGTGAGGCAGAGAAAATGGATGAACGAGTAAACGAGAAACCAGTAATTTTTTTTATTTGGCCTAATATCTTATAATTACTGTCATAAGTCTCATTAAATATTTATTTTTGAGAATTACGATTTATCAATTAACTTTGTACACTATTATGGAATAACTAATGAGAAAATCCAAGGATGAGCATCAACACCAGCTTGGCTGACACACTAATACTCGGTTGGTAGCCAACAAATGGTAATTGTACTATTGTAGAATCTTGAGTTTGAAATCCAAAACGATCAATACCTGTATAATTACATACATGCATTATTCAAATGTCTCCATACCATGTTTAAAAAAAAAACTAAAAACAAATCTCTGAATGTAAAACTACTTGATCGATAATAATCCAAAATAAATAATAAAAACTGTAAATAAATTAAAATAAATAAATTGTAAATTTCTGAATGTTTACCTATTTTAAAAATTTAAAATATAATAATAAAAATATATAATAATCCAAAATAAATAATAAAAACAATAAATAAATTAAAATAAATAAATTGTAAAATTTGTGATTTCATAAAATATTTCAGCTCAAAAATTTACATAAATTGGGAAAATTTTACCAAAGTCCTGACCAGACAATTAAATTTTATTTGATAAAAACATGTGACATGACTAAATATGGTCATGATGTCATCACACCATGACCATATATAGGCACATCATGACTACATGGGCACATGTTTGAAATCCAAAACGATCAATACCTGTATAATTACATATATGCATTATTCTACAAGGATAAATGTCTCCATACCATGTTAAAAAAAAAAAATAAAAACAAATCTCTGAATGTAAAACTGTTTGATCGATAATAATCCAAAATAAATAATAAAAACAATAAATAAATTAAAATAAGTAAATTATAAATTTCTGAATGTTTACCTATTTTAAAAAATTGTGATTTCATAAAATATTTCAGCTCAAAAATTTACATAAATTTGGAAAATTTTACCAAAGCCCTGTCCAGACAATCAAATTTTATTTGAAAAAAAACATGTGACATGACTAAATATGGTCATGATGTCATCATATCATGACCATATATAGGCACATCATGACTACATGGGCACATGTTTGAAATCCAAAACAATCAATACCTGTATAATTACATACATGCATTATTCTACAAATATAAATGTCTCCATACCATGTTAAAAAAAAAGAAATAAAAACAAATCTCTGAATGTAAAACTGTTTGATCGATAATAATCCAAAATAAATAATAAAAACTATAAATAAATTTAAATAAATTAATTGTAAATTTCTGAATGTTTACCTATTTTAAAAATTTGTGATTTCATAAAATATTTCAGCTCAAAAATTTACATAAATTTGGAAAATTTTACCAAAGCCATATCCAGACAATCAAATTTTATTTGATAAAAACATGTGACATGCCTAAATATGGTCATGTCATCACATCATGACCATATATAGGCACATCATGACTACATGGGCACACAACAGATTTTTGTCAAAGAAAAGTTGATATAGTGTTATTTTGTTATTTGTTTGTTATTTGGTATTTATATAGCACCTTTTACTTTAGGATACGAAGCGCTATATTTTCCCTGGTCATTGGGTCCACATGCTTATGTGTTGTTGCCATATTGGGGCAGTAGTAGGCGACCCCACCAGGTAGCCATTTATACTCCTGGGTGAAGAGAAGCAATGCAAAGAAAGTGCCTTGCTCAAGGAGACACAAGCAAAATACACAGCGAGGGATTAAAACCCCGACCTCGAGTTTGGGAAACCAAACTGTTCCTGCTGTGCTAAACAGCTCCCACGCTTGTAGTGTAGACAATGCTTAGGAATATGCCATGTGTACCATGCTTTCCTCAATGACCCACTATATGCTTCTGGAAGGAAGCAATCATTCCATTTACAAATTTAACACAGTTATCAAGTTCAAAGAACATTTACTGCACGTATCCACATCAGTGAGGTACAGTACAATAGAAAAAAAACGCTGACTGTCATGTAATTCTATCAGTAATTTCAATTCTTGTATTAAGTCCTGACCAAAGTTAACCATGGTAATGATATTTAATTTTCAGTTTTTAATAATTTTTCAAGAGTACGAGGTCATGTCGGCATGTAAAATTATCATATTTTAATTTGCTTGCTACAGATGTTTTTTTTTTTTTCACTTTATGGTGTTTTATGTAGTATGACAAAAAAATTAAATTATAGAAATCTTACTGAAAAGAATATTAAATTGTAAAATCATTAAACTATAGGCCCTATATTGATGGATCAAAGTATACTTCATGAATGCACTTCATATAAATCCATTATACATTCAATACAATATTTTAATTATAATTTAAACTGAAGGTATTCAATTTCTTTAATGTGACATAACACAGGAAGCAATTATAAGGAAATGAAGACATCTGTGAAACTGCTAGTAAAATTCAATTAAACTAGAAGGAAACACCTTGAGAACTAAAGTTTCTTTTGTGCATTCAGAAGTACTGTAGTTTCTCAGTCGTAGGCATAAATGCTTTTTATACTGTTAACATTCAAAAATCAGAAAAAATGCCAGTAGAAATAAACAACACAACAGTGGAATAAACCATTTTGTTATATAGTGTTGTCGTGTGTATTCATAAACTGGCATTTTATCCTACTGGCATTTTTCTCATACACAATGGTTAAGGAATCAAATTAAGCAATTAAGGCTTAAAAGTGCCCTGTTCCTAGACATACTCATTACTTCTAGCTCAGTCTTGGTTTAAAAAAAATAGATGACCCTAATTTTTCAAGGTTTTGAGAATATTAGCCTAGGGCAATACCAACTTTATTGGCTTTATTATGCCGAGGTTTCTGAAGAGAAATATTACAATACATTATCATTGTTGTAATTGCCACTAACGTCGTCATTATTTTTTATTAGGTTTGTTATTATTATTATTGGCTTTTGTGTACTAGTACTGATCTACATAATATTTCTATTTATTTCATTAGCAGATTCTCTATGAAATTAGTGGGATATACAAAATGGTTCTATGGGCATTGAGTTCTTATCTCTAATAATGGGATCCTAGAATATGTACACAGCATAAGAACTGCACTGGAAATAGCGATAAGCTGATGATGATTATGATAAGTTTATCATTAGGAAAATAAGTAAAATGTTTAAAGACCTATTAAAATTGTTATGGTTTCCAAGCGAGAGGGAGCTCAGTCCCCAGCTCCCTTGAGCTTCCTGAATGCTACATGCCATGTCAGACAACCCTCCCCCCCCCCACCATTGGACAGCTTAACCCTTTGAATGTACATCCTAGAGCCATGTCAGAACTCTCCCACCCAAATTGGACAGATGAGCCCCTGAATGTACATCCTATAGTCATGTCAGAACCTCCTCCCATTGGACAGCTGAGCCCCCTGGTTGTACATCCTAGAGCCACATTAGAGCCCCCTATTGGACAGCTGAGCCATGAATGTACATCATAGAGCAATGACAGAACTCTCCCTTCCCCACTGGACAGCTGAGCCCTGAATGTACATCGTAGAACCCAAACTGCGTACATCATACTGTATACACTGCAATGACAGCTGTCAGTGTTTCAGTAAGTATAAATCTCGATTTACATGGATGTATAGAAAATTAGACAAGCATACACAGTATCTGTGTCTGAATAAAATACTCACGTTTGGGCGGGCCGAACAGTACTACATCCATTGCATTGATGGAGATCTTATGCCGGTGCACTGGATTTGAAATTCCCAATACTTTTTGTATAATTTGTGCATGGTTGACAGCAAGTCTGTGAACAAGCGAAATTATAGTTAATTTGTATTTATCTACAAAAAACACATTTATTTATTTATTTAGATATGAAGCCCCTTTTTTCCCCTGATCACTGGGTGGTCAGATGCTGTAACTGTTGCTGTTGTAATTAGTGCAGGGGGCAGGCAACCCCACCAGGAACCCCACCAGGAACTCATTTATTCTACTGGGAGGAGAGAAGCAACGCAGACACCTCGCTTGATGACGGAAGTGAAATGCACAATGAGGGATTGAACCCCCAACCTCAAGGTTGAGAAAATAAATCATTCCTGCTTTCTATGCCATTAATATGCCCATATATATGGGTATGATATAACAGGATCCTGCCATATATGGAAGTAATATGACAATATCATGTTTGCCTGGATGCGATATGAATCATTATGCCTATAACTAGGCAAACCATTGATATTGTTCACAAATTGATAGTTTTATTAGACAGACCTTAATAAGAAAAGACAGGGGCCTAGGCTGGTTTCATTCTGGGGTGCGGAAATTGAGAATGCAGAACTGGGGGTTGAAAATTGAAAAAGCGGAGCTAAATTTATATTCCAATAAAAACTTTTTTAGAATTTTAACTTACTTAATTTTCTGCTATGTTTGTGGGGGGGTGGGGGGGGGGGGGGTGCAGTTGGCATTTCTGATTCTAGTTCTTGTAGTATGCAATGTTAAATTGTATTTGAAGTCATTTTAACAATAGTCTATTCATTTATTCAACAAATTTGTATTCACTCATTCATCCAGTACTCATTTAACTATTCATATATCACTATATTGACATTTAAGCTGAAAGTACACTAATTATAAGAAATCCCATGAAATGAGCTATAATTAATTACCGGTATACACACAGGTGTTTCCGATTTTGTTGACCATAAAAAAAAACGTTTTTTGGAAATTTATTTCTATCAGACCATCAATTCCATTCTTGTCTCTCACAATTTATAATCATTTTGCCTAAGTATTAAGAAAGCAAAAATGAAAGAGAGGGAGTTGGTTACTGTACTGTGTGCCATATATGTTCATTTTTCTGGGTTTGTATTTTGTAATTTAGATGTGTATTGAGGGACATGCCTACTTCGGACATAAGATTAAACCAACCCTACCTTAACATATAATTTAAGTATTATCTATCAAAATTTGTAACTTGCGTCAATTTGTTTCAAATATCAAGAATGCATGCTTTAGCAGTAGGGAATAAAAACTTCTACACGAGAATACCATAATATTAAAATTGTTAATAATCTTATCAATATCGTAACTGAATGGTTTGTAAAATTGCTATTTTAAATAACTTTGTCCTCCATTTGAATAATTGTTGTAATAATAATATTATTTAAATTTTTTATAGCACAAATTATAAAAAAAAATGTTAAAATCAAATGTACTCATGAAAGTTATGATGTTTCCTTAAACACATTTCTAGGTTAATATATGAAAATCTTCCTTGTAATTTTTTGTTCAATGTTATCTTTTCATTCAAAAAAATTATGCTGCAAAAAAATTAGTTGCTCTTCTATTGTTACACCTACTTTGTCCTTCATTCACAGACACTTGTGTAAATAGACATTTGGCTTAGCTATATTCTGTGCTCTGCACTATAAATGTCACGAAAACAGACTACATACATTATGTAAACAAGTCAAGAATTACTTTTATGATAGATAAAAACAAGGTTTTTAGCAGGAACTTTTAAAGTTAAACATCAAGAAAATTAAAACCACAAACTAATCATGCCATATTTTTATTTTTCATTATTACTGTGTGTACAATTTTTTATATTTTTTATATTTTTAAATATGCAATGAATTGTTTTCACTCTGCTTTTCCTTTTAAAATTGGACAATAAAAACTAAATGAAATGAAATGAATGAAATGGTAGCATAGCAACCCTGACCCCACCCCATAATCCCTGGGAGGGGGTGGATCATGTTATCTGCCTTATTAAATTTTGATATTTCAATTCACTCAAATTCACTCATTTTCAGCACTGATTCATCATCATCATAATCATTATCATTATTACAATCAACCCCATCACCATCATCTACTACTTTTTCCTATTAAGACACTTAAATTCTTAAATTTTGATTTTTTTTAAAAATAAATGTCCACAAGCAATTATATAATATTTAAATAAAAACAAAACAACTTTAAACAGTTGTTATAGCACGCTTACCTAGGTAGCATTTTACCATCTACTGCATTGACCTCAAATGTGTTAACATATTGCTTGAGGTCAAGATGATCTACGAGCCAGCCAACCATTTGACCTGTAGTCCAGTTACAAACTAAAAAATAAAAGAAAAATTATTAATATGAATTCAATTTCTTGTTATTGGAACAGCCTAAATATATACGGTATCTTAAACTGTCAGTTAATTTAAGGGGGGAGGGGCGGGAATATAAGATATAAAATTTAAAATTATAATGTAAAATAATATAACAACTTTATTTTAAAACAGAGAAAACTTGTATCACCATATTGGTGTTTTTCATAAGGCTGTTTTTGCAAGAAGATAAGAATGAAATAATGTTCAACAAATTATTAATAAAAAAAAAAAATACACAAATCAATTGTAGACCTAGCTACTTGTACTGTGTAGTGAAATATTAAAACATGTTTACTTCATATTAATACCATAATCAAATTTAGTCTTTACTACTAAACTTCAGCTTTCAGATATTGAATAATTTTACAATTTACAATATAACTAATAGTAGAAAATTGTCTGTAGAGTGAGTGAAATTATCTTAGAACAAGAAATTCTTTCATAATTTGAAATTATTTGTCACAAGTGGCTCTTTAGAAACCCAGCCTTGAAATTGACAAGCTTCTACAAAGTGACAAATTCAAGCATGGTCAAAGGGACAAGTATTCAAACAAGGTAGATTTCTCCCTCTGCTTGTGTTTGTATGTTTGATAAAAGATAAGCCTACAATATACATAGTTACTGTTCTTTACAGTTTAAAGGTAAATGTATTATCACGCTGTATCTGCTTAAAATCTGTCTCAGTAAACTAATAATCGTCACTACTGGTATAATGTCAATTGATACATCAATATCTGTCAATGACGACCAAGGCAAGACTTTTATATACCTTGTTTAACGAACCCACCTTGAGTCAATAATGATGATTTTGAATAAAAAAATACTTTATTCTTGAGTAATCAGCCCACCACCACGAAAAAATTATAAATTTAAGGGGAAAAAAATGAAAGCTTTTCTTTATTTTTATACTCCCACCACTTCTTTGAAACCACAAAAATAATATATATTTCTTCATAATTACATAAATTTAAAGCATTTGACCATCCCATTACTACACTGTTTACATTCAACAATAAAATTTTATTTCTATTTTCTCCTCTGTCTGGTTGGTTTTGGCAAACCTATTTGTTAAATAAGAAAAAATAATTTTATTTTTTAAATTGCCTTTTGATTAAAAAGGAATTTCCCAGGTGTAAGCCCACTCCCCTCCCCATCCCAAATTGACCAAATTTGTATTCAAAATGGCTGGGCTTACACTGTACCACAGAAACATCAGTAGAACTGCAGTAGAACTAACAAATTTACACACAAATACAGTTTAATGAAAGAGAGATAGACAAAACCATTAAAACACCTGGCATATAATTAAATATTAACACAAACAAAACGGAAGTCCATAAAAAAGAACAATATTAAAACATGTGTGAGATTCAAATAGCCAATATGCCTCCAGTACTGCATTGTAAATATACAGTGCAATATTATTAAGCCCTATCCAATCTATCAAACTTTGTTTTGACAAAAACATGTAACCCCAACATGCCTAAATATGGTCACATCATGACCATATATAGCCACATCATGACTATATATGGGCATAGAGTAGTATACAACAGTTTTTTGATAGTGTGGCCAGAGCTCCATTAAATATTTCTCCATTATTGACAGATGTGACCTCACAAATACCCTGTTATTTAACAAACATTTTTTTAAATGCCACTTTATTTCTTAAAATATAATTTTACGTACTACTAGTGAGTATCACAGGGCTTGTGGTTTGCAGGCAGAGCACAGGAGACCTCACAAATGCCCTGTTATTTAACAAACATTTTTTTTAAATGCCACTTTATTTCTTAAAATATACTTTTATGTACTACTAGTGATTAGGCCTATCATTAGGGCTTGTGGTTTGCAGGCAGAGCACAGGAAGACGATTCAATTCTTAAAATACTTCCCATTGTCTAGAAACATACCACTCAGAATGACATAGACACTAAAAAACTTGACAGTTTACTGTAGGCCTACTGTAGGCCAAATAAAAAAAAACTAGTTTCATTCATTTTCTCTGCCTCATCAACTTTCTTTTTTTAAATTTCCTTTATTTTACTAAATGTACGAAAATCTTGCTAATATCGGTAAAATTCCTCTCTCGATCGTTCGTGGTTGGGGATACATGGTATAAATGAAGGCTAGTGTTTCTTTTATTTGCTTTTAATGTGTCTACTTGGTAAACGTGAGAAAGTACTAGCTGTTTCCCATCGACCATATTAGAATGAGAAACTACTTTTTTTTTTCACTTGGCCTTATGATGTATTTTGAAACCTCATGATCAGACTTATATACGCTAAATTTGTTCTTAATAAACGTAGTGTCATAGAAAGATTCTGTTTTTATCAGCCATTGTTCATCATAATTAATAATTGATATCTTTCAGAAATCATGAAATTTAGATTGAACTACACTTTGATGACTCTTAAATTCAAATTCAGTTGACTGTACTCTAGGCCTAAATATAGAGGGTCTGGCCAGCTTCTACTCTGTTGTACTTTCGTTTCTTCTCACTATGGGAATTGATATTAAGTCGAAACATAGCAATGTCAAAAAGAAATTGGAATAAATGATCCAGTACTAATAGCATACAAGTTAAAGTGAATTATAAGTGGATACAATAGATTACAATTATATTTCATAGTAAAGCAGTTAGACATATGCATCTTTCTACTGGAAGCCTATATTTAGTAGATTTATATTCGGATTTGATTTATTCTCATTTAGGCAAACCGCATCAAATACATCAACCTTGGAATAAGGAAATTACATTATAAAAACAAACAATGCTTACACTGTAATAATCTTGCACATTAACATGGTGTACACATTATGGTGTATTAAAAGAAAACTAATAACATACCAACAATATGACAATGTTAAAAACTTATGTATTAAAAATATATAATAGTTAATACATGAATCTGCATAGTACCTTAAGTTATGAAAAAAAGTGAAATATAAGTATAAATACTGCATACAACCATAACAATCAATAATTTGTATAAAGGCAACGGATTGTACAACCCATTTGATCTTGATTACAAAGTTTATTGTTACTTCTTAAATTTACATTTGCAATTTACAATTGGGATTTTGTATAGCAGAGGCATGCTGGTTTCAACCTAGGGGTGTGAAAAATAAAAATTGGGAAATAAAACTTAAAATTAGTGATGTTTGTATAATAGTTATTTCTAATTATAGTTTTACAATTAATTTAGTAATTAACTTACATTGTTATAATGGTTCTTTTCCCTGCTGTATCTTGTATTTTTCTAAGGTGATTTATTCTTGATGTTTGTATGCTTCCTTTTTGTTATATTGAAATTATACTATTGAAGAATATGTAAATTCATCTCAAAGTTGCAATAAAGAAAGATTGATTGATTGATTGATCAGAATGCGGAACTAATTCTATATTTCAATGATGAAAACTCAATACATTTTTATTAGTAGGCCTATTTTTAACCGACTTAGTGGAATTAATTTGCTGTAATGGGGGAATCATGCTATCTTACCTTGGGATGCACTCCACGTGTTCCAGAGGTCTTCTTTGTTGATCAGCTGATCCTTTTTAAATAATGATTCATGACGCTCAAAATCTCCTCCATACTCAAGCTCCTCACGGAGAAACTGATAAAATCATTATTTATTAATTAATATTCATCATTAAAATGTTAAAGCAAGCTACAGGTACGGAGGAAAAAAAATGTTATATGTTGTATAACTAATTTTTCTAAGACATAAATAGTATATTTGGCAAGAAACTCGGGAACAGTTATGGTTTATTAGATACAGATTTTTGAATGTTTAAAGACTGGGAAAAAAGCGGAAAGAAAGATAGTGCACCATCTTTTTTTCCCTTTTTTCCCTCAATTTTTAAATATTCAAAAATCTGTATTTCATTGACCGTTTCCGAATTTATCATCAAATATGCATTTTGTGTCTTATAAAAATCATTTGTTCAACAATCAAAATAATTTTTCCTCCGGAGCCTGAATTTACTGTAATTAATTAATTTCACTTTCGTTAGCCACTATTAGGGAATATTGTATGTTTTATTGTTGTTTTTTCCCCCCTTTTCAATCCCATCATGCTTTGTTGTGGTTCGCCCTCTGCTGATTATTCTTGATTTGCATATCATACCTCATCGCTTTCATACAAGTCCAAATCCCCGTTTTCATCGTCGTCTATCTTTCGATGCAGTATCTCTATGGCTTCTTTTGCAAGCTTATCACGTTCATCCTCTGCTCTCTCATTATCCTTTGCAGAACACTCTCCTACAGAATGATCAAAAGATAAAATTAATTATTCACACGTACACACCAACTCGGCCAATAAAAAAAATTCAATCGCATAACACAGTCACAATGTAACAAGATAAGCCTATTCCAGCATTTTAGCTCATTAAAAAAATATTTTTTGATGTAAAAAAAAAACAAAAAAAAACTAAAATGCCAACTTTCCATTTTGAATATTTTGGGTCGGCCGGGTGTGGCCACCACAATAATTTTTTTTATTTGGCCTTAATTTACAGTAACTATACTACACAGACGCCATAGCTGGGGGCTCTGCCTTGGATTCAAATGTTTCTTCTGCTATGCATTTGTATATTATTATGTACACAGTGTTTTGCTTTTGTTGCTAAATTGCAACAACATGCTATTTGGTGGGGGGTTGGTGGGTGAGCTCCCACTAGGATTTATCTATAGGATAGAACAGTAAGTTGCTGCAAAGGATTAAAAAAGAGACCTGGCCTTACTCATGAATATCTACCTGTAGAGTAAACTAAAAAGAAATCATAAAAGATGGAAGAAATACTATATCAATAGGAGTTGAAGTCAAACTTTAGGATTTAGTTTTTGGTTTGTTTTCTTTCGTGTAACTTAAGCGCATAGAGACCACGTAGTACGCGCTTTACAAGTCCCAAACCATTACCATTACCAATCCATTACATCATTATTATACTGATTCTGCGTCGATAAATTGCAATTAAATTAAACTAATAATAACCAACTAATCAACATAATATTCCCCATAGTAATAATACAGTCAAATATTTATTTATTTATTTATTTCATTTCATCAGACCAACAGCGAATCATCGCCACTAACAGGCTGGTAAAATATATAAAATTTAAATACAGTATATCAAATATATAGACGGATGAGTACAAAAATCTCACCTATTCAAATGGTTAATAATAATAGAACGAAATATGATTATTATGCAGGTTCTGTGCCCCTAAATTGCAATTAAATTGAACTACTATTAGTACTAACCAATTAATCAACAAAATACTCAACAATATCAACAAAATACTCATCATAATAATACTGAAGACAAACAGTATGCATAAGACAAATCTTACAGTAGCTTACAATGCAACTCAAGGTGAAAAATATCTCCCGATGTTTGTCCTCATAAAACCAGGGCTTTGTTGTTACAAACTGATTAATGGGCAATATTATCGACTTTCCTGTCTACACTGTTATATGACAAAAGGCAACTACTCATCGATTCTGATCTATTGATGTGTCACATACAAAACAAAACACAAAGCCCTCATTGTTATGGTTAATTTGAAAACAAAAGAATGTTAACAGACAGCAATAAACGAAATGGGAAGTGTATTATTTGGAGATTTTTCAACCTTTATATGAAGGTAGTCTAATGAAGTTACAATCTGTATTCATTTTGTTATTTATCAACAAAAATATAAAATTGTTTTACTAGATGAAATTAATGGCAACAGACCAAAACAGCAATGTCAACTACCAAAATAGCAATAGGCATAGACCAAAACGGCAAAGGAGCAAAATTCAATGCCAAGACTGAAGCACCACAGGGTGCGGGCAACAGTATATAATTTTCTTTTTTTTCCTGTTTTTTTTACGCATCCATGACAAATTATTTCGTTATTTCAAAGTGTTATTTATCTTTTTTTTTTCTTTCCCTTTTTTTACTTTCATGACATAAATTGTTTAGCCTCATATTATCTGTATTTTAAGGTTTTAATTTATTTAAATATTCAATGGTTTTATATTGTATATTATATTGTGTTCCCCCAATCTTCCTTACTACTGAATTTGTATGTTGTATTGTTGTTGATGTTGTTATTATTTTTATTATTATTACAGTATTATTATTATTATTATTATTATTATTATTAGGCCTAAAGTGTATTATTATTGTTATTAATGTTGTTATTATTTAAAGTGTTTTTTTTTCTTTCATGCTTTTTTACTTTTGACATAAATTGTTTAGCCTCATTTTGTCTGTATTTTAAAGTCTGAATTATTTAAATGTTTACTGCTTTTATATTTTGATTCCCCTAATCTTTTTACTATTGAATTTGTATGTTATACTATTATTATTATTATTATTATTATTATTATTAATCGTTGTACATTTTCATGTTATAATTGGTTTTATGTTGTGCCACACTGGAATTAAGTTTTACTTTTTAAAGAAAAGTTTCATTGACCATCCTTGCATCATCTTTTATTGTAATATTTTTTGTCCTGCCTTGTGCGAATTTTATCTGTTTTGTACAATGTTTTGATGATTAGAAATAAACTGAACTGATGATATACCAAAATAAATATTGAATCAGAATGGTCTGTTAATCTTTTTTTGAGTTGTACTTTTTTTGTTATTAGTGACAGCAGTTAAAATAAAACCATCAAACCGAGGTAAATACGAGTTAACAGCACCTTAAAGTTCAAGAATAAGGTACAAAATCAAGAGGGGGTTTTTAAAGGTAACGCCCATAAAACATTACTTTCAATACCCTTCTAAAAAAAAAGGCGTTTTAAGCAAACTTTTTGTTTCTGTAATTCAATTATTAACCGTGCTGTCCACTGTTTATGGTCAACTGGTTTATTGAGGGTTTTGAGTTATTGCCGTTTTGGTCTTACCGTTTTGACTTATTATCCATTGCAGTTCTGGTCTAAAAGTGTTGCCATTTTTGGTTTTTTGCCGTTTTGGTCATTGCCGTTTTGACTTATTGGCATTTTGGTTTTTTGTCATTTTGACCGGTTACCACACAACTTCGTCATCATGGAAATCATTCAAAAAATCATATCATGATGATACCATGAATTAAAACAAACCCAATCGTTAATTTTTGGAATTCGCTACTCTCTAGGCCTACAGACAGGCCTAGATAGGCTCTCATACCTCAGGCCCTACCCAGCTAGGCCTAGCTGTACAAACAGTTCTAGGCCTAGTAAATCGCCCAACCTAGGCCTAGCCTATCCTAGGCCTAGCTATCATAAGAAAATCGATGGTGCTTGACTTGTAGACCAGCCTTGGAAAATACAGAGCATAAGATCGATTATTAGTTTCAGGATGTAACCTGAAATTATGCCTAGCCGCTAGGTTCAGCCATTGTACTAAAGTAGGCTTATTGACACAGTAAGCCTAGCCTAGCGGTTGCACTGATAGGCTAACCCAAGAGCAGAAGCACATTCGCGATCAAAAACATCATTCAACGGGAGGGTGGAACCAACTTACCTCCGCTTACCAAAACATAAGGCGTAATGAATGTAATAAGTAGAAGTAGGCAAATAAGAATCTGATAAAGTCCCATCTAGGCCAAGTTATGAATTAACATGTCACCAAGTTACTGTGTTTCATCAAGTTTCGAGAGAGTTTGTTGCCTTGATCGTACAATATTGATGTGCTTCGTTTTGTTTGTCACCACACACACAGGTAGAACGTATGTACGTGTAGACATCACAGCTAGAGGTCATTCCGAAGGTCATGTAATATGGCGTTGTTTGATTGGTTGATTACACTAAGTAGTAAACAGTACGTATTAAGCCAGAGTTGTGACACATCAACAGTGAGGTAGTTCCTTAAATAATTGTTATTTGTCGAAGATCTGGTGCTGTTTGTTCAAATTACCATAATAAAGCTTTAGAAACAAAAAAAATGGATGGATCCACAAAACCAGGTCAGTTTTGTTTTGATGTGATGTGACGTAAACAACATTTAATTTGTAGGTATACCCAGCGGTACTTAGGCACACTACCTACTATTGTAAGTCTCTAGACTGAATTGCTCCTGTTTTGTGGACGATCCTGGTTGGGTCGGCCTAAGAATTCTGTATCCATATGCAGGCTGCATGCGTAACCTTTTTAATAGTTTGAGAACACAAAAGTATAAATATAATGTAGGCGTACCCACAACTAGCTAGACAAGTCTGGTCCTCCCTGATTTAAAGCCATGATCCGTAGGTAAAAATGTTTTTGGGGGGGGGGGGTAACCACTTTTTTTTCTTTCCCCCCCCCCTCCCCCACCAGTTATTAAATGCTCAAAATTCTTTATCTCAATTTGTGTCTTAGAAAAATCAATTGTTTAAATCAAAACATTTTTTCCCCTTTTTTTACGCAAAAGGATTAAAAAAAATGAGAAATAAAAAATATTTCTCATAGGAGATTACCGTTTTCTTGATGACATCTTTGTTACTACTACTAGGCAAATTCAGAGGTTGTAGATCATCACATCCGCAGGAATGCTCTTACTTTTGTGTATACTTTATACAGTCAATAAAGTGCACCCTGAGATTAGTTTTTGTACTTCACATCTCGCACACTGTGGTCGATCGAGTAGGCCTGAGATATGTTTGTTTAATTGTCAAAATCTCAGTCAGATCATTTTTTTTAATTTGAAATAATTCCAATGAAATATTATATTTCACAAGTGTCGACAATACTAGAAAATAAAAACAGAAAATATCATGTTGAGCATTTTTATGTCTGATAACCTAAATTGACATAAGGCTAGGTCTAACCTAGCAGTGTTGGATAGGCTAATGTTTCCGGCACTTACTATATTTCTTCGCAGACCTATTGCAGAATCAAACATGAAAAATTCATCCGCATTTATTTTTTGTGTAGAACACAAGGAAAAAAAAAAAATCAAATTTTAGTCTTATTTTACATTTTTTTCGTGTTTAGAAATGTCTAAATTCAGTTAAACTAACAATTTTGCATTATATTTATAAATTTTTATAACATATAAAAATAAGATTTTTCTTAACAATTGAAATTTTGGCAGGAATGTGGCTTTAACCGATTATATTGGTTTGTTAGTTATTAGTAATAATACCCTTATCTTTGATTTAATTCATTTATATAGAAGTACTAGACTGTTTAGTAAGTGGTGTATCTTCTGCACAAAGAATTGGCCCTAGAAATCCGTCAGCACATTTAGAAAAATAAGGGCCAATTTTTCGCACAGAGTTTGCCAAAAATTAGGCTTTGTCCTTAATATATAAACAATGTTTTTATTCAATTTATTCAAATCTGCACACCTATTTTTCTAGTGATTTTCTGCGAAAATTTGAGCTGGTTTAGAGGTATTATCTGCGCAATTAAAAAACATTAAAGTACGGTAGGAGTATTGCTATAACTAATAAGTAATTATATTGAATTATATGAAAACAGTGGTTTTTTTTAAAATTAATTTCCGAATAGGAAATCCAGATAGAGGGTGGAATGATCCACCGATGTTCAACTTCAGTGCAAAAGCCGAGCCGTCTCCCAGGTCGAATGTGTTAAACAAGAGGGTAGCACCCCCACAGCAACCACCCCGATCAGGTGAGAAATATAGGCCTAACATGGCATGGTCCCCATCCATATTTTTGTATTATATTTAGTTGACCTTTGACACTGGTTTAATAACAAAGGCATTTTGATTACCTAAAATAAACATTTATTCTATTTAAAAATAAAAATAAAATACTGTAAATTTGAAAAGCCCATCAGTATATGCAAATATCCAGTGCAAATGTGTCATCTTGTAATTGTTGTTTTATGTTTATTTTTTAAGTACTGTATATTATCGTTAACTTTAAATGTTATAGGTTGGAGTAGTTTTGTATTATGTGTGCAGCAGTTCAATTCAATATAAAGTTTATTTCCACACCAATAAAAAATACATAGACAGAGAAATACATAAGAAAAAAAAATTGATAAGAATGTAGGCCCATCAGAACATTTGAATAAAGTAAAGCTTGCGCCCATTGATTACAAAATAAAATTAACAAATATATCACAAAAAATAAATTTTATAAATAAAGTAACAAGTCAATAGTTATTGAAAATTCTGAAGAAAAGTTAAATATGATTACATACAGCACAATTTAGCCAGTAATAAAAATTAGGGAGTCCAAAACTAAATGTAAAGTACTGTATCAGTATTTGCCGCCTGGTTAAGCCCGTGTATGTACAGCATGTCTTAACTTTATTTTATTGTATGTATTGATGTTAGAGCTTTGAATGACCAATGTAATTTCTATGAGGACAAATAAATTTAGTATTATGTTTTTGGTATTCTTATTAATATTACTTTTATATTTTGGACATTTATTTTCATTTTAATTTAGTTAGTAAATTTATTTTTTATAAAATATTGATGAAGAGAAGAAACTATTAACAAGTAAACACATTTTTAAATGTATATGTAAAGTTTAATATATCTCACTTTTATGTTTAGGTTCAAACAACTCATCCCCATTAAATGCGAGGATGGCCAGTGCCAAATATACCTCTACAGATGTTAGTGCCCCACCAATGACAACACCTCCAATGGGAGGTCCACCAGCTGGTCATTCTTCAACTTCCACAACAACTGGTCTGTCCTCAGACTCCATAGCTGGCAAGGATGATGACACCAGCTTAGACGTGGTTGAAAGAATAAAAAGTGTTCTCAATGAATGTGAAAATAAGTTACAGGTATATAATCTGTTGTTATATTTTGTATTGAACCTTTCAATGACAGTGGTGTATCTAGGGGAGGGCATGGAAAAACATGTGAGCCCACCAGTTCCTCAAAAAATACTCGTTCTCCTACCCCCCCCCCCCATTAAAAATGTTTGAAGCCAAAATATCATGCTCAAGTAGATAAAAATCACCTCATCACCTTATTTTACGAGCTTACGCCCCCAAAAATAATCTTTGGGTCTTCCCACTTCACCTTGGCACCCCATTAGCTCCAACCTTCCCCTTCTTGACTTCTAAAAATGCTACTGTACAATGCTGGACTGTTCTTTATAGTCCACGTAAATCTACCAGTAGGTGTGTGAATGGTGTGGTAGGGTCAGATTTGATTAGCTTGTGGTATAAATCTTTCTAAAAACCATTTGGAGTTTTTGTGGCTTATTAATGCTCCAAATTGTGCTTTTAGACCACAGCCTTAGGGATTAGCAATCAAAATAAATTTATTTGGATAGGCAAATTATTTTTTTTCACTTTCATCGGACGACCTAGTTGTGGCATCGGATGCAGTGGGGTCCAGACCTGTCCAACGGTAGGGGAAGTTCCCTCCTGCTTCCGCTGGCGCCAGCACTGCCTGATGGGGATGGGGGGCTCGATGCAAAATAAGGTGATTTAAGATGATTTTTAACTACTTGACCATGACTTTTTGGGGGTGGGGAGGGATGCTACTGTACAATGCTGGACTGTTCTTTATAGTCCATGTGAATCTACCAATAGGTGTATGAATAGTGTGGTAGGGTCAGATTTGATTAGCTTGTGGTATAAATCTTTCTAAAACCATTTGGAGTTTTTGTGGTTTATTAATGCTCCAAATTGTGCTTTTAGACCACAGCCTTAGGGATTAGCAATCAAAATAAATTTATTTGGATAGGCAAATTATTTTTTTTCACTTTCATCGGACGACCTAGTTGTGGCATCGGATGCAGTGGGGTCCAGACCTGTCCAACGGTAGGGGAAGTTCCCTCCTGCTTCCGCTGGCGCCAGCACTGCCTGATGGGGATGGGGGGCTCGATGCAAAATAAGGTGATTTAAGATGATTTTTAACTACTTGACCATGACTTTTTGGGGGTGGGGAGGGGAGTGAGTTTTTTGAGTGGAGATACACCCCCAGATATCTAGTTTTTGCAGATTCTATCACTATACCAATCTCCATATCTACTTAATAATAAGTAGTAATAATGAGTATGTTAAATAGTTCAGTTGAATTTTGTCTATTTAAATATGCATGATATATTCTATTTGTTTTATTTTGTTAGAAACGGATATTTGATGACATATCCAAGAGACTTGTCATTTTGAGTGACAGGTGGTCGAATGGAAATCTATCAAATCCAGTCAAAATTAGAATGTCAAAACTTTCTAACGGTACGTATTCCACGCACGAACCTCTGTTGTTGTGCTTCCAGGATCCCACTGTGGCGTAGCTAGGTGTATAAGGATTAATTGCCAGGCTCTTTGATGTGATAGTGGAATTCTACTAAAAATTAATCATAAGAAGTGCCTCCTTTACCCCAAACTCCGAAAGACATAGGCTAGTAATTTATGCTAATGCTAATCGGATTCGCAGTTGTTTTAATCTAATAAAGAAAATTGGTGGCACAAAATTCCACAATTGCCGTGGCGGGTTAGGGAATTAGAAATAGAGGGGTCAGGGTGGAATTTTCAACCCCACTATGGTCGGGGCTGAGGTAAGAAATTTAAGATTATAGCACATAGGTGACTGAAAATGGCACTGTCAGACAAATTTTAATATAATTTTCTTTCCATTTTCTATTTCTTTTATATTAAATTTTAAAGAATAGTGAAGTGGGGAGGGGGAGCGCGGACTGGCTGGGGCACCATTGAATGCACCACTGATTTGAAATCAGCACAGTAATTATTATTATCCCCCTAAAAATCAAAATATTATTGAGAGGCCCGCTGGCCATTTTATTCTTCAAAAATATGTTCTAAACATGTCCACAACATAGGCTGTAGTGGGGGAGGGGTGTAGGCAAGGCAATTCAACAAAAGAACGCACATCTCGGAACATCAAAGGTTATAACTCTGGCATCGACATTCTAGGCAACACACGCCCCTACATGCTGATCGTCACAAAAACCATAGCAACCAGACCATATTTAACAAATTACCCACGCGTGTGTTAGTTGCCATGATAATTGCACGTCATGCGGTGATTAGAAAGGCTTAATGATATTTTGCACTAACATTATTATATTTGTTATTTCAACATTTCATGAGACTCCCTTAGCAGAAAAAATAAATAAATTTTCTCTATCTACTCAAATGCTCATTTTGTGCACCTTAGTCCAATATTGTCAAAATGACAGTTTAATGTTAAATAAGAACATGAAATTTTATAAAAATTGTAAATTTTCAATTTCTATAACTTTCCATTTTATCGGTCAATTTTCACGAATCAAATTGTAGTTTATAGAACCAATTAACAAGCTCATGGTCAAAAGAAATCAGATGTAACAGACATTGCGAAGTACCCAAAATTAATACAATAGTAACTAACACCATAAAACGTATGTTGAATTGCCTTGGTGCAGGTGATGTGGATGCACCTCTTCACAGATGCAAGTTAGTTCCACTAATTGGCTTATATAAATAAAAATGACAATTGAATTTGCATTCAAGTTTTGAGTGCAGTAAAAACACCAAAGTATGATATTTACATTCAGAAATTGTGTCCCTGACCCTGCAACCAAATCCAATCGTATAAATTTAATATAAATTATTAATTATTGAATTATTAATTAATTATTATTATTATTATTTATTATTATTATTATTAATTATTATTATTATTATATTATTATTATTATTAATTATTATTATTGTTATTATTATTATTATTATTATTAATTATTTAATTATTTTCAGCTCTTGTTGATTACCAGTATGATGAAGCCTTCAAGATCCATTTAGCATTAATGGTTGATCATGTGACTGAAGTCAGCCAATGGATGGTTGGAATAAAGAGACTGATCCATGAGGCTAAAACAATTCGACCAAAACTGGCTGAAGATCCAAGAGTAGAAGCCAAAGAATCTTTGATTGAGGATGGAACTCATTCAGTTCAGCTATTTGACACTAAAACTCTTAAAAGCCCACAACATGTCAAAAAAGCTGAAGAAATAACTCAGGAAAAACTAGAATCTGATGATACATCAAATAGTAAAACATTAGATACAACAACTGAGCAAGTAAATAGTTGATATTATCTAACATTTGCCTTAAATCAGATAATTACACAGTTACAATTAATATGTATAGAAAAGAAAACTTTATTATAAATAGAGAAGAGCGCCCTCAATAAATACATGAAGTGAATGGCACCCCATATGTATTCAGATCTTGCCATACTTTTACAATTGATATCAATTCCTATAAATGGGCAAAAGGTATACAATTTCGTTAATGTTAACAATGAAATAAAATACAGTGCTCAAATACATAGGAATGTGATGTTGTAATCTCTAATTTCATCTGGTTCTATAATAGTAAGAAATTATCTGTTTTGTTGAACCGATTAGTTGCTTACCTTACCAACGGTTTCAGCAACTACTTTGATCACTTTCTTTAGGCTATGTTATATGTTATAAATTGTATGATGACACAGACACATACACACTCACTATATATATATATATATATATATATATATATATTAACAGTGTTAACGGCTATCTTGATTTATATGTACCTATGATTTATTATATATAATTTAACAGTGTTAACGGCTATCTTGATTTATATTATATGTACCTATATTGTTTCTAGCCGTACCTATTGTGTAATGGAGTGTATCTGGTGGTATTTGAATCTGTTCAACCATGAAGCCTCCGTGGTCTAATGGTTATGACGCTCGCCTTGACAGCGCTGTCTCTTATACACATCTAGATGTGTATGGGACTAGTTTGGGCCCTACCTAAGCTGGTCGAACGTTTCGTTTGGGTCTGTACCCTAGCTGCACTGATGAGGCCTGGAAGGCCGAAACGGATCCGTCTGCAGATATTGGGATTCCTTCCAGAGTGGATGCTTAGTTTATTTTGTCATTCTGATCGGATTTTCTCTACTGTTCCGTGTTAATTTTAATTTTAAATTGTTTTGCATTATATGGCCATTTGCTGTTTTATGGGTTTTCCCCATTTGCCTTTCAAACTTATATATATATATATATATTTGAACCGTTCATTTATATATTTAATAGTTATTGTTTCCAAATGAACTAAATAAATTACAATATGTGCCAAAGAAATTAATCTAAGCTTTTGTGTAACCAATTTAGGATCTTGTAGTAGCTTCGCATTTCGTTTAATTGCATGCATCCAAAAAAAAAAAAGGATAGTCGTCAGTGGTGGCGTCAGCAAGAAGAGGGGTGCACTTGCCCTCCTGTCGGACAGGCCTAGACGCACCTGTCGTCCGACGCTACTACTAGGTCGTCGGATCAAAAATAAAAAACTAATAATTTGCCTATCAAAATAACGTTTGTTACTAATCCCTAATATTGTGATCTAAAAGAGCAATTTGGACCTTAAAGTCATAAAAAAAATTCTCGTGAACCCTACCAGAGATTTTTCATTCTGGGCCCGTCGAACGAGGCGTAAATCTACGTTCACATCAAGCCCGGATTCCGGTTCGGTGTCCGGAGAAAAAATCGTGAAAAATGAGTTCAGTGGTAAAGAATAGTACCGTTCACATCAAATTCGTACGTTTCTAATCCGGACTTCGGATCCGGACCGATGGATCTGAGAGCCATTTGTATCTTGAAATCGTACTTTTTTTTTTTTGGGACTAATCAGCAACAAGCTTGGTTAGTTCGAACCAATTCTGTCCGGGCTCCGGACCGGATTCGGCTTGATGTGAACGTAGCATTAGTCGACCTCTTGTTTCGGACCCCTCCGTCGGACTCGGGCCCTTGTCGGCAAATTTCTGGCGCCATCGCTGATAGTCGGGCCTCTTGCAATTCTATACTCTTTGAAATTGTTACAACCCTACATAACGCATAACATTCCATATTAATTGGTCTATTATTTGACCACTATGTTTGTCAATAATATGAATACATAATGTGTATACATTTTTATAACTGCTATGTAAATAATTTTTTCGCATGAAATCAACAATTGTAGAGTAGTGGCTCTAGAATATTTTCTCGGTACTATAGTTTGGTTTGGTTGTAATGTCTAGAAAGTAAAACTTATAGCAAAGCTTTAGGTTACTATTAAGTTGGGAGATGCTGACAAACAAAGCGAAGCCAGGGGTGGATTTAGAGGGCCCCCCCCCCATCTTTTGGAGAGTAAAAAAAAAAAAGAAAGAAAAAAAATGGGTCGCCCAAAAGGCATCAGAGGTTATTTTCAGGCGTCGGGTACTGGTGACTGGCTTTATGAAGTTATTAAATAAAAATTGATGATATGATGCATTTACCATTTACTTCCCAGCCCCTGACCCTTCTTACAGGACCTGGGCCACAAGGGCATGATGGTGGCCTCTACTTGTGACTCTCACATTAAATCATTTCTCCCTCAACGAAACTATTACTTGACCTGCTAACTACCAGTGGTGGATTCACAATTTTGAAAAATTGAAAGAACTAGAGAAGAAAATAAATATGTTCAAATTTTAAATCTCAGAGTGCCATTTCCGGCCATCTAGCGGTACCATAATCGTAAATTATCTTGCCTATCAGCTAGCTCCAACCATGGTGGGGCTGAGGTGGTTCCCTGGACATGGAACCATTTATTTCAAATTTCTGGATCCGCCACTAACTACAATGGCATTTTAACTACTGTAGTCTACTATACTTAATAAACTGCACGTTGGTCACGTTCTCTAAGGTGGTTATCAATACGCATTCTTCACAATCGTAAAATGCGATACACGAGGCTGATAGCACGCACGCACGACTGCATCTTACGACACTAGTTTTTGTATGTCCGGTACAGGAGAATTTTTCTTGCGTTGATACCTTGAAGTACGCTGATGTAACTTCAACTGCATAATAAACATTTTAAAAATGTTATCAATCATAATTTATATAATGCATGTATGATATATATATGTATATACATACGTATATACATACGTATATATATACATATATATATACACATACGTATATACATATATATATTTATATACATATTTATATACATATTTATATACATATATGTGTAGATATATGTATATACACATATATATAATATATAATATAATATATAATATTATAGTAACATAACATATTTAAAACAGAATATATATACATATATATCTTAAATCAGTGTATACAATGGCTCGTGTGCACTATAAAGAACCCAGTACATCCTTCGAGACGAGTAGGGGGATACCCCGGTGTACTGGAACAGACAGCCCCTGTGGTGGACGACGAGAGTTGCTGGT